CAGCCTACACCCTGTTCTGAATCTCAGTCTCAATCTCAGTCTCATTCCACATCCATAGCACTAGCATTCTAGCCCCTGGGCTGCCTGTGGGTATGAGAGGAAGGGGGCTGGAGGGGAGGATCAGGTTGCAACTGGCAGACCCAAGGTCGCAAGCTTCTTGGAGACTGGAGACCAGGATGGGACATCTCAGCCCAGGACTGGGTAGAGTGGATACAGAGAGGAAAGGGAAAACAGGGTCCAGGGTCGGAACGCAGAGTGTGGTTCGCTCTCCTGAGCACAGGTTCTGTGCTTACTGCTACACTAGTTTTCTCTCTTTTAATCCTAACGCCAGTGTGGTAGATCATAGCTGCACCAACCCCTGTTTTTTAACACCAAGTCACATAGCTAGGTCCTAACAGAGACAGGACCCAAAGCTACGTCTGTCTGGCTTTTGACCACCACTCTAGCCTGTCTTCAGGACGCATGTGCATGAAGTCAGGGAGCCTGCTTAGCGGCCTACTCCACACGGTGGCGATGGTGCACAGCGTCAGGAAGGAGTGAAATGAGCCGTGTGCTGCCTGCCACCCCCAGACACCCCCTTTTCTGTCCCCGCTCTATATCGCCCCACTGCCCTGCCTCCTTTCCCCCCAGGGGCTCTTTCAGGCACTGCTCCGTCAGCCTTGGGTTCCAGCTCTGGTGTCCTCATGCCCTACACTTGAGGTGTGCCCGCTGCCTCCTCCACCAGCCTCCTGCCTCGGGGGACCATAGAAACAAATGTTCTAGAAGATGGATTGCACTTTGCTTTGGCCTCTTGGTCCACCTGAGTCTTCTCCATCCTGTAGAAGAACCGTCAGTCGAGAAAAGATCAGCCGCCTAGGGCTATGCCTGAGCTTTTCCATGTGTGGCCTCTGAAGGAGAAGCTGCCTGGCCCCCAGAGAGAACAGGCTTGCTGTCCAGGAGGGGCTCAGGGGCAGCAATTTTGTTTTGCACCTGCAGAGAAGTCTTATGTCCCCCCAATGTAACTCCACCCTAGCACCATTACTGCCGCCACCAAAACAAAAGAAATGCAGAGGGACAAGGCATATTCCCACCTCTTCAGTGGCTTTTCTTGACCGAGCTTTCTCTCATTCCCACAACCACTCTGTCAGTAAATCCTGTCAGTGCAGTGTTCAAGGTGCACTCAGGATCCGACCTCTGGTCACCCTCTCCTGCACCGTCTCGGCCAGGCCCTCCCCCGCCCCCGTTGTTTCGCCCTGACTTTGTTTGGTGGTCTCTAACTGGTCCCACTGATCCCACCATCACCCCTTCAGGCTCCTCTCAGCACAGCTGCTGTGGCGAGCCTGCGCGGCTGTGGGCCACGGCCATCCTCCGGCTGCCCCCAGGTCCTGGCAAGCAAAGGTGGAGCCCTCACCCTGGGCCACCAGGCCTGGAGATCCGACCGCTTGTCCCACACACCCGTTCCCTTCTCCAGGTCTTTGGCCCCCTTCCAGACCCCCTCATCTGCAGTCCCTCATCTGCCGTTGCAAACCCCACCTCCCAGCCCTGCTCTCCTGCCGTAGTGTCACTTGTCACAGTCTGACATACTCCTTCTTTCCTCCCTTCCCTCCCAACAGAATGTGAGGAAGGTGAGGACTTTGTGTATTGCATCTCCAGCCAAACGGGCCTGTCAGACAGCAGGCCCTTCAATAAAACATGACTGGACAGATAAATGAATTTTTCTGTTTTTTGTTTTTGTTTTTCTCCTACCACGTTAGATGTGGAGCAGCTCTTTTAATGTTTCTTCTTCATTTAACTTAGAAAAAAAGATCTTTAGACTCTGACATATTTTAGGGAAGGGGGATGGTAAGGGGTGGATGGCAGGAGCCACATTTCTGCTCCTCACACATCCTTCTGAGGCGCTGCTGCGGGAGGCTGCTCCCTGCACGAGCGGCTCACCCTCCACCCTTCCCTCGTCCAGGATGCAGCTGCGAGTCGCACTGCTTCTCCCACGGCCCGCTCTGCTGCATTAGTGCAAGTCTCTGACACAGGTTTGTCTTCTATTTTTGAATTTTTGAAGTAAAAGCAATGTGAATATGGAAGAATATTTTAAACCTTTCACAACGACATAAAAAGTCTGTGGAATTTGATGATAATTCATTCCATCAAAGGTGCTCTTATCCTTCTAGGGGAAAAAAAGCATGCATGATACCAGCATAACTATATGTCCTTTAAAGTGGATATGAACAGAATCGTAGTAGGTGTGTTATTCTGCAATTAAACACTTTGCAAATCTTTCCATGTTAATCTATACACATCTATATTTTTAGTCACTGCCTAGTGTTGCATTGTACTGTGATGTGTATGCCCAGCCCCCTATTGACAGGCATTGGTTCCTTTCTGTTTTTTTGTTATGACAGTATTACAGTGAAAATCCCTGTACATCTTGGCACAGGTTGCAGTAACACCTGTAGAACGCATACCTGGCAGTGCATTGCAGGTCAAAGGGATCTGGGCATGTAAAATTTTGATAGATGTTGTCAAATAACCTCTGAATGGTCACACTAATGCATTCTCTTAGAGTATTTTCCTCCCAGCGTTTTATTTCAAAGAGTATTAGACCTATAAAAATGTCTAATAATTTAAGGAATACCCAAATATTCTTTGTCTAGGTTCACAGATTATTGTGCTACATTTATTAGTTTGCTAAAGTTACCATAACAAAATACCACCAAATGGAAGGCTTACACTACAGAAGTTAATTGTCTGACAGTTCTAGAGGCTGGAAGTCCCAGGTCAAGGTGTCTGCAGGGTTGGTTCCTTCTAAGGCCTCTCCTTGGCTTGTAGATGACCACCTTCTCACTGCGTCCTCACATAGTTACCCCGCAGTCTGTGAGTGTCCTCATCTCCTCTTATGAAGGATACCTATATGACCTCATCATTCCTTAATTACGTCTTTTAAGGTGCTATCTCCAGATACAGTTGCATTCTGAGGTACTGGGGGCTAGGATTTCAACATGTGACTTGGGAACGGAGATACAATTTGGCCTGTAAAGAGAAGTTTGCTTCTCTTTATATGGTATATATCATATTAATATAAATAATAGAATATGATAGTGTATTACAATTATGTCATTTATATGTTTATTATGTATAATTATATAATATTTCTCCTAAACCATTTGAAAGTAAATTGCAGCCATTCTAATACTTCAACGTGTATCTCCTAAGAGAGGGGAGAACAGTCTTGGGCTATGTTTGGATGTCTTCTGTTTTATACTGATGAGGTGAGATTCCCCTGAGGCAGAGGAACAAGTGAGCGTGACAGGGTGCCAGCCCTGACTGGGGGCTTTCCCTCCAGATGGTTTTATCCTGACCCAGTTTCCTCTGCGTCTTCTTCCTGAGACCCCAACCCCTCAGTGAGACTCGGGCACTCATGGGAAGGAGGCCTCCTGCCTGGAGAGCCATTTGCTCAAGCAGAACCTCTTGGCCTCAGCTCCAGATTCTTTAGCATTGATGCTTTGTATGTGTGATGTGTCAACAGACTGACACCATCTTGCAATTCCACCTACTCTTTGGTCTCTATCAAACATCTCTCTAAACACCAGACTTACTTCATTTCTGTGGTCACTCAGTCCTTGCTTTGCAAAATGCGGACCGCCTGTATTCATTTAGAGAAGTAGGGTTTATTAATGTGGGTGCCGTTTTCTCCCTCCCTCCCTATCTATATCCCTGCTCCTTCCTCTTCCCATACCCTCTGGCAACTCGGGACTCTTGCCGGAGTTGGCTCTTTCCCGCTACCCGTGGGAACAGGGCATCCTCCCTGGGCTTGCATCCCTATCTGTTGCTTCCTCAGTACTTTTGTGTGGGAAAACATCACACATGCACACTTCCCATGTTTGTTTTAGTAGATAGAATTCTTGTAGAAATAGTCTGCCTGGAGCGTCAGTAGAAGACAGGGCACTTAGAAGCTTTTGTTTCCTTGTGTTCTAATGGATGTGTCTGTAGACTCGGGGTGAAAGTGTCAGTCTGGGGCATCCTTTGCCTCCGAGGTCGGTCAGGCAGTTGCTGAGTGGGCACCCATCCCATTGGCTGTTCTGTGGCTGCGAGTGCCACTGCCTGGTGCAGCGACGCAGCCAGCGTCCTTCCTCAGCTCTCTCCACCCCCAGGAACCCAATTCAGAGCTGCTTTTCTAAGACAGTTCACACCATGTCTTTGAGTTTGCTTGAACATCTTTCCTCTCGTTTTTCCCCTGCAGGATTCAGTCCTGACTCCTTCGCCTGGCATTCAGGACCCTCCTTCATGTAGCCTCTGCTCAGTTTGCCTCCCTTGTTACCTGCTGTATCAAAGCCAAGTCAAATTATGCCAAACACACTCTGCCACATTATGTCCCTGTACTCATGAGCCCACGGTGTGTGCTCTGTCCAGAATGCAGCTCTCCTGTCCCTGACCATCTAAACTCCCACGCAGCCTTCAGAACCCTCACCTCTCATCAGCAAAGCCTTTCCTGACCAGCAGCCTTCCTCCAGGCAAGCAGGCTGATCATCCTTCCCTCGAGCCTTCACTCTGCCTCCAACTTACCTCTTCTCTGGCACTTGCCACATATGTGGTTATCTGCCTGCCCTCCTGCCAAACAACTGCCTTTGCCTGTGTCTCTTCAGTGCCGGGCTGGGAGAAGCACCCAGTGAACCTTAGGGTGGATGGGTTGATGGGTGGATTAGTGGTTGGGTAGAGCATATCCTGAAGTTAGAAGTAGCTAATCGCACTTTGTGGTTTCCAGTCCCTATCTAAGAGAGCCTTATCAGAAAGAAGAAAATGTAATTTTCCACACATTGTGAGGAGTCATTCTTCCTAAGTGTCCATTTCTGAAGAGTCTGTACTGGTCAGTAGCAATACAGGGCCTCTGTGACCTTCATTAGTCACTGTACATTGTCACATAGTAAAAGAGCAAGTCCCTTAACATGGCATTGTAAACCCAACTTGTTGTATGCATTTTGCTTTGTTATCACTGTGGAAAGCTAGTGAATATCTGTCTTTTCTTTCAGTCAAACGCTTCAGAGAACCAAAGCATGAAAGACGTCCATGGAAGATATGGTAGGCATTTAATATTAACTCATCCCTAGAATGTTTTCGACTGTGTATTATATAATAGAATTTATATTTCTCAAATAAGTGTTGAGCCCTACCTTTATTCTATCATCACCATGGTGTTTGATTTTAGAAGATGGAAGATAACACAGCTACATCAGTCTGTACTACAGGCTCCTTTAGTAGTTGTTCCTGTTAGATTATGGTAATGCCTCGTATTCTATAGTCTATATCCGTAAGCAAAAAATAATCTAAATTTAGAGGTAGTCAGATACACCATGTAAATGCTCCTGTCCCCAAAACTAGTCTGCCTTGGTCCTAGGTTGACCCTGTGGGTGACTGGTTTTCCTCCATACAGACGGTTGTCAAGCTTCAGACATAGCCTCTGTACACAAATCTCTAAAAAAATAAGTGATTTGCAAGGAGACAACCAGCTCTTCAAGACAATGTGATGTCCCCAAGAAGCCGTCTCTCTTGGGCTGCCTTAGGCTGGCGCCCACCCTAGCAAAAGAGCCATTTCTCCTCCAGAGAAAACTTCTGATACATCGCTGTGGTAAATGCCTCTTTATAAAATGTTAAGTACATACTTGATTGATCTTTAATGCATTATTTCTAGATGTTCATAATTCTTCTTTTTACTTTCCCCTAATCAGTTTCTTTCAAATCTGGGTTTCGAGCTTGGGCTGTTGGGGGCGGGGCGGGGGGGGGGGGGACTTGGGAGAGCCTAGAGTTGGGGCACTCTGTTTTACACACATCGCTCTTGGGTGACTCCTACTTTGCCATGATTTTAGGAACTGATTTTTAAGCCTCAGTCACAGGGTTGGTCTGGATTATTTATCTTTGAGGCCTGTTCCAGTCCTGAGACCCCGTGGTTGATGTCCCAGGCCTGTGTGCCCTTTCAACACCCCCTCAGTGGCCCTGCCCAACTCTGGGTGCTCAGTCTGGGGGGGCCGAGAGAGAGGACCACATCCAGGGTTCCTCAGCCACAGACCACAAGTTGTCTGCAGGTGCTCGGGGCAGAGGAGAAGCTGAAGGCCCCACGTTATCACCGTGCTCCTGCGATGTGGATGGGCTGGCGGGGGTGCTGGCGTGACACAGGGCGCCCCAAACACTAACCGCCTCGTTTTTTTTCCTTTTTGAAACTCTGTCATCTAGCCCAGGGGTTGGCAGACGATAGCCTGCAGGCCCACTGGCTCCCTGTGTTTTCATAAATCGGGGGTTACAGGGATGGCCGTGACTGCCCGCTTTTGGGCCGCAGTGGCAGAGTTGAGTAATTGCTGCAGAGAACAGTGGTCCACAAAGCCTGAAACATTTCCTCTCTGACCCTGAAGAGAAAAATGTTGCCCGCCCCTGATCCTGCCCACTGGTGAATGGCAGCAGCTGACAGTAGTTCAGGCCTTCATCTGCCGCCCTGGATTTCTGTGGGTCTTGTTAGCTTTGCACATTACTTTAGCTCATGAGTGGAGTCGAATGGAAGCTCTTTAAAATACAGGCACCTTGTACTCCCATCACAAAGCTGGGATCAGACGTTTCATTTTGAAGTAAGAAAAAAATAAGTAAAACATTTAAAATATGTATTTAATATGTTTAAATATATAGGGTGGGGCAAAAGTAGGTTTACAGTTGTGAATATGCAGAACAAAGTTTATTCTTGTATTATTATTTATTATTTTACTATGCTCCGTATGAACAACTGTAAACCTACTTTTTGCCCATGCTGTATGTTATTAATCAGTAGTCTTTCAGAAATTTTAATGCAATGCTATTGAAGGTTTTGAAAGGTAGCTGAAACACCAAGCTTGAATTACCCGTATTTTGCCATGTATAATGTGCACTTTTTTGCCCAAATTTTTGAGGGAAAAATAAGGATGTACCTTATACATGAGTAGTGCCTGAAATACCTTGTATCTGTTCTTGTGTTTTGTAATTTGTTACATAAAATTTCTTGTACCATAGTATGTTAAAAAATAAATGCTAAAATTCCTTTTTGATACAAAAAACCAGTATCTAAATACAAATAAATTAAAAATTGAACTAAAAAATTAAAACGAAAGATTTTGTTTCCTGAAAGTTTGGGCCAAAAACATGGGTGCACATTATACTTGGGAGTGTATTATATACAGCAAAATACGGTAGTACTGATACATGAGGGAGAGGTGACTGCTAATTGGGTGTTGGAGGCTCCTAGTGGCTTTTTTCCTACTTCAGACTTAATATTTTCCCCAAATTGGATATTGCTATCCTGTCATTGTGATCACAAGTGCTGATTCTGTTTTGTACAGGTTTTTAGACACTTCCAAACAAGCCATAGGAATGCTGTTCATCCACTTTGCAAATGTGTACCTAGCAGATCTCACTGAAGAGGACCCTTGTTCACTGTAAGTGGTTCATATTCGAGTACCAACATCACCTGCCCCGTAGAGGAAAAGGTAGGCTGGCCTTGCTGTCTGCAGCCGATCCTGTTCCTCCAGCTTGGGGATGGGGCAGCTTGCCTTTGTCCTACGTGCTCCTCTGAGAGATCGCCCTCTGCGTGCTGCCTATGAGCTCAGACAGTTGCCCTGTGCCCTGGCTTTCTGCCAGTCAGTCTCAGTTCTGTTTCTTTGTTTTCTAGTACCCTTATGTCTCCAGCTTCCAAGCAGCCCCTGGCTGGGCAGCGTAATGCCCTGAAGGAGTGCCGGAACAGGACACATGGGGTTTCTCTGCGGTGTCAGCCACTCAGGGTCAAAGGCATTATTGACCATCGTTAACCTCTTGACCCAAAGACCATGAGTTGTTCCACCCTGTCGAGGCAGTGCGCCTTCCACACAGCCCCTGAAGCAACCTCCCTGCTGACAGCACCCAAATCATGCCTTGTGCAGCAGATGGAGTGGAAGAGGAGGCTCACCTGCCTCATCCTGCCTCCATCTTCTACCTTCCTGGCCCAGACTTGGTGCTTCAGCCATGGTGGGCTACTTGTGGTGGCCCTCTGCCCTGCCAGCTGTCTCCTGCCGCTGGGCCTCGGTCAGCTCCCCGCCTCAGCCAGCTCCCCACTGCCTGGAATGCCCTCCAGCCCTGCCCTGCCTCTGTAGGAGAGTGGGGTGGGGGGCTGGTGAGTCTCTTGTCAAGAGATCTTATTATGTACTTATTATGTATTTAAGATCATTTGGACTGGAAGATTCTTTTAAGCTTCTCTTTTTTGGTAACAGTGCAGTTTTGAGACAGTCTAGACCCAGATTTAAGAAAGAAGTTGTGAGGTCTCCCTCCCCAGGGTCTTTCCTTAAGTAAGACCTGGATAGATTGTGATGTGTGTGGATGTTTGGGTCTAGTCCCAAAGCAGGGACCGGAAGGGTGATTGTCCTACAGGGAAAATGGTTAGGAGAGCGCCTTGTCCTTCTAGTCCTTGAGGCCAGCAGCAAGCTCATGTCATCCTCTGGTGAATCATCTTGGTGTCACTGGCTGAGACAGTCTGAGAGCCAGCTCTGCATCCCAGAGGCACTGGGGTGAGGAAACCTAGTTCCTGGCTTAGCCTTGGCTACATCATGTTCCCTGCATCCTCAGAAAGAAGGTGATGTGGTCTTGACTGGTGTAGTTCAATGGGTTGGTTGTCATCCCTCAAACCAAAAGGTCATTAGTTCAATTCCCAGTCAGGGCATATACCTAGGTTGTGAGCCGGGATCTAGTTGGGGACCTATCGATGTTTCTCTCACACATCAGTGTTTCTCTCCCTCTCTCCCTCTCCTCCCCTCTCTCTAAAAATAATGAGAGAGAGAGAGAGAGAGAGAGAGAGAGAGAGAGAGAGAGAGATGAATGATAAGGTTTGAAGCAGGATATTGACATTGAATCACGGCCAGGATGGAGCAGGGGCCACTGACAGCTCATGAGTGCTGGGCGTGGAGAAGAGGTCCAGGGTAGACCTTGGGGTGGCAACTGAGAGGCCAGACTGTGGGAAGGTGGGTTAATGTCTTTGAGCCTTAGTTTCCTTCTCTGTCCTATGTGTCCTGCCAAATCCCCAGAGTCACTGAAAATTTCATCAGATGATGAGTATAGTGCCATTGAAAACAGTAGAGGCACTTACCAATGAAGATACTCATAGTTCCGTTGGACGGTATTGTCATTAAAACTTTGGAAAGACACGAGAGCTCCGGCAGTAGGTTCAGAAGCTCCTAGGTGGGAGACTAGAAGGTAGAGCAGGCATTGCTCAGGGAAGTGAGGGGTCCTTTGCCTTCAGGAAGGGCAGGCATTGCACTGGAATTTATTCCAAGGCCCACCACTGCTTTGCTCTGTGACTTTTTACAGATGGGGTAAGGGCTGGGTTGGACGTGGGGCATCTTGGGAGTCTGCAGACCTACAAGAGGAGAGACTTACAAACAGAAGGGATGGATGAGCTGCTTTCTGTGGCTTCAGGGGTCTCCTGTGCTGGGGACACTGCTTTGGGTGGGGAGTTGAGCTTTTTTACAGACAGGGTTCAGTGATTCTGAGGGTCTATGATTCTAAGAACACATTTGTATAGTGCTTACTTACTAGTGGCAGCTACTGTCTACATATATTGACTCATTTGCTCCTCAGACAGCCCTGCAATATTGATACGTTGATTATCCTCATTTATTAGTTGAGGAACTGAGACACAGAGAAATTACGAAGCTCACAGCTAAAGAGTGATGGAGCTGGGATTTGAACTCAGCCAGTCTTGCTCCTTGGCCCATATGGTACTGAGCTGTCTGCCATGGCATCTCACTTATGTTGGGTTCAGTGCATAGAGCATCCTCTCTTTACCCCAAGGCCTGGCACACTGTAGGCTCAAATAAATATTTGGTGGGAGGATGAGTGAACTAACACACGTACAGGCATACCTAAGATATTACAGATTTGGTTCCAGACCACTGCAACAAAGCAAGTATCACAATAAAGTGAATGGTAATGTTGCTAGTGCAAGGTCTAGCCTTCAATTTGTTAAAAAAAAAACAAAAACAAAAAAAAAATATCATACCTGTGAAATCTCTGAGGCACAGTAAACTGAGGCATGCCTGCATGTGTATTAGGATGGGTCTCAAATGCAGAACCACTTGAAACCAAGTAGATACAAGTATCTAAGAGCAACATAGCCTGGGGCCAGAGCTCAGCTTTGAATGTGGAGAAATTGGAAGCCAGTTGCTATTCCTTCCATCTCTGGTGTGAGAGTGACCCCTTGTGATTTTAAAGAGAAAGGGCAGGCAGGAGAAAATGGCCGTTGTTCCTTTTGGTTTTCTCGTCACTCCCAGGCCCTGATCCCACAGAGCAGAGTGTACACCTTCTGGTATCAGAAGGCTATGCACGTCGTCAAAGCCCAGGCCTTGGCGTGGGGCTGAGGCTGCATAAAATGCCTCATGCCTCAGTATCTGGAAAGCACCACAGGTGGTCTGTGGTGTCCAGAGCTACTCTGGGGAGTTTCTGAGCCATGTGGCATCTGAGAGGGCTAGAGCCTGACCTAGTGACTGCTTGTCTCCTGCTGTCTGGAGAGCTAGGACCTGTGGTCCGTGGTACCTAGCGAGATCTTGGTCTAGGGCCCTCGAGAGAGGGCCAGTGGGCAACAGCCCTTTCCTTGGTGAGGAAAGGGGTGTGTGTCAGACAAGAACACGTGGTCATGGTGGGCGTGCGCTTCTGCCTCTTCCCCCTGCCTCCATGATCTTGCCTCTTCTGTGGGCAGTAAACCTCTCTCTTCAGAAATACTGACTTGGACTTGTCTCAGTGGAGGGCTTGGAAGCAGAGGGGTGAGTGAGAGCCATGTGGCCCTGCCCTCTTTAGTCTGAGAAGCTGTAGAGCCATTCCCTGAGCTGCTACAGTGCGGCGGCACTGCCTCGGGGCCATGGCTGGGCTGAACAGTCTGGGCGAACTGCCATTGAGCAGATTTTTAAATCAGTTAAGTTCTCTTTTCCTACTGACTTCCATGGCTGCTTCCAGGCACTCTGTTTTACGTCTAAGTGTCTTCATTCGGCAGGGACACTTGTGGTCTTTCAGGTTTCTTTGTCTCCTCCACCCCTCCCCAAGTTAGTTGTCCAACTCCTGAAGAGTGTCCACCCACTGCGTGGGGATGGCTCACTGTGGCCCACAGAGGCGGGCACCACAACTTTTCGCGCAGGCACGTCAAAGGCTCTCTGCACCCCCCTGCCCCTCACCGCCCCAACTGTCCCTGAATAAGGCCAAATAGAGTGCTGGGTCATCTTTCCTGACCTTGGCCCTGCTAAGCAAAGCAGGCCTGACTCAGGGGCTCTTGCTCCCTGGGTGGTGCTCCCTGGTTGTGCCACTGTGCCCTCTCCTCACAGGTACCTCATCAACTTCCTCCTGGATGCCACCGTGGGCATGCTGCTCATCTACGTGGGTGTGCGCGCCATCAGCGTCCTGGTGGAGTGGCAGCAGTGGGAGTCCCTGCGTTTTGGCGAATATGGTAACATGCCATGGACCCTGGATGGGGCACGGACGGAGATTCCTGGAAGGGGCTCAGCTCCTCGTTCCGTACAGCCCACCAGGCCCACAGATTCAGAGAAGGTTCAGGACTGGGTGGATGTCCCTCCTGCAGCGCAGGAGCTTGTTCTGGGGCCTGAGTGCTTGCCTCACTGCTTTGGCTCCTCCCTTAATAGCAGGAGACACGCTAGATGCAGGGAGAGGGGCAGTGCTTGCCTCTCCTGCCAGAGGGTATCAGTGGCCCCACCTGCAGGGTCATGAGGCCCCCTCACTCTGCCAAGCTGCCCACCTCATTAGTGAGATGGGGTGGCTCTTGGTTTGGGAGGTGCTCGGCAGGGCCGCTCTCTCTCAGCAGCTGCCCTTCTCTTTACTGCATGTCTGTGCTTGTCCTGTCATTGGGCCATTTTATTACTTGAAAAGTCAGGACTGGAGGGTCCATCCCCTTGGGACCAAGTCACCTTGCTCCCTCCTCCCTGTGGGCCGGCCCCCAGCCAGCATCTGACACATGCAGTCACCAAGGACACCAGTTCCATCCGCACTGCCAGAGACATAACTTAAAACAAGCAACTTGGGGGTGCTGGCCCAGCTTCGACGCCCTCACACCTTGTCAGACCCCATGGGATACAGCTTGGGCAGGAAGCTGCCTGCACGCTGGTTCTGAGCGCAAATGCAGTGCCTTTTACTCTGTACTCCCAGGAAGACAGCAAGATGTGGCCTCAGCAGGGCTGCCGATGAGAGGTGCCTTCTTCGGGTCTTGCCAGGACCTGGTTATTCAGGACCCAGGCTTAAGGGGGCAGCAGCTGTCTCCCACCTTCACAGCTGGCCCTGCTGTCTGAAGGGTGGAGCTCCTGTTCTCAGTGGGAACAGCATGAGTGGAACCTTTGCCATGAAAGGCGCACGCGGGTCAAGAGGGAGGCGTGCGGGTGGGGTTCTGGCTCCCCGCTCTCCTCTCCTGGGCCCAAGGGCTGCTTACGCCTCCATGGTTGAACACTCAGCAGGGACTGGCATTTTTAAAGGGAAGCCAGTTCTTGGAGCCAGCTGTGAGTGCCTGGGGTATTTCTAGAAATTTTAGTAATTGTCTGTCTCCACTGAGGGGAGATGAGCTCAGGGAGGGCTTTTCTTAGCCTCGTCACTTGATGCCTGGTGAGTCACTGACTTAAGATAGTGTTTGACACACAGCGTGTGCTCCTGTGGCTCCAGGGAAGGTGTCTGAGGAACTCCAAGTCATTGACTCGTCCGCTTAGAGGACAGAAATGGACAGCACACATGGACCAAAGCGGCCTCTTCCTCGCTTTCAGGATGGGCACCCAGAGCAGCTGCGTGGCGCAGGAGGCTCACCCAGCCAGTGCACGGCCAGCGCCGGGGAGTGGGTGGAGGTTGCTTGTGGCTGCTGCACTGAGTTCCTAACCCTCCATCACCTCCAAGAACAGTGTTCATAACTACTTCTTTGCTGTTAAGATCCCTTCTGGAAGGCAGGGCTTTCAACTCAGTGCTACAGGAAATCCACCCCACATCCAGTTGCATGCCACTCAGTGACCTGGGAGTGGAAAGCAGGTCTGGTCCTCACACACCAGGCATCATAGTACCACCTGTTCCCAGTGTGTTTTCTCTGCATGCCCAAGAGTAGAGTGAAAGGCAGAAGGCAGTGCTGGTTTGACTCTCTTCTTTCCGTGCCTCCTTCCTTGTAGCTGTTGGGCCTGCCTCAACCCCTGCCCTTGGGCCATCTGCCTCCGCCTCTGGGAACCCAAGTCTTCAAACCGGGGTGTCTCCAGATGAAGCTGCCCTTTATCAAGGACCATCCCAAGTTCTCCCACCCCAGGTTGAGGAAGGATAGTGTGTGTCCTCAGTTACCTGGTTTTTATTTCTAGCAATTTCTTTTGTTTCAATCGCTGCTATAGCAAATGATCACAGAATCAGCGGCTTAAAACAGCACAAATTGATGATCTTGCAGTTCTGTAATTCAGAAGTCCGACATGGGCGTCATGGGCTGGAATCACAGTGTCAGCCGGACTGGTTCCTTCTGGAGTCTCTGAGGGCAGAATCCATTTCTTGCCTTTCCTGGCTTCTCGGCCTGCCTGTGTTCCTTGGCTGGTGCTCCCTTCCTCCAGCTCCAGAGCCAGCGACAGCCGGCTGAGCTCCTCTCACACTGCATTGCTCTGACCTTCCACCACTTCCTTTTACTCTGAAGTGCCTTGTGGTGACATTGGGCCCTCCTTGGATACTTTAGGAGACTCTCTGTCTTCGAGTCAACAGACTAGCAACCTTCGTTCCCCTCTGCCATGTTACCTGACACATTCATAAGTTCTGGTGACTAATATGTGGCTACCTCTGCGAGGCCATTACTCTCCCTGCCACACCTGTTAACCAACTCATCTGCTCGAGATGATAATTCCATGTAGGCCCCCTAGCTCTCTTCTCAGGTAAATGAAGAAGAGGCGCGTGTTTTCTAGGTGCTTCCCGTGGTCCCTAGAATAGAAGGTGAACTTGCTAACAAGAACATGGGACTTGGGCAATGCCACACAACCGTGCCCAGCGAGATAGGATCTGGGCGATGCGTGGTGTCTGCTGTGTGAGGGCCAGGCTGCTCTTCCCCAGGCAGAAGCCCTGAAAGCAGGCCTGTGTCCCACAGGCACCGGCGGGTGGTGGGCTTTGCTGCCCGTCCCTAACCTAACCCTCCCCTCCAGAAGTCTCTCTTGATACAGACACGTTCCCTGCCTTTGGCTCCTAGTCCTGTGATTTATCATGAGGAAATAATTCAATAAAACAAACTCCTGTGTCCAGTGTGGTAAAAAGCAGGACACAGCAACAATGCTCAGCGTGTTTTTCCTTAAAAGATGAGTCTGTGCGGAACACAAGACTCTTACTTCAAACAGAAATCAGAAAAACCAGCACATGTGCATTCGTTCCAGCTGCCCCTACATGTGGTCTGGGTGCAGAGGAGGAAACGATGTGTGAGAGTGGGGTTACAGTTAACTTTTGTCCTTTTTCACCATGTATTCTTTTTTTCCTTTAACTTCCTTATTAAAGCATCTAAATGAAAAAAGAGGCAGCTGCAGCTAAGTTGTGGCTCTGAAACTCAGCAGTAGGAGCAGCACGAGGCAGATGGGGGGAAACATTTCCTCTTTTGTCAGTCATTTAAAACTGAAGAGCAAATGGAGTAAACACACTCTGAACAAGTAGGTTTTCTTTTGATATTAAATAAGTGTTGCCACTTGTTCTGTTGGCTTTTAAACACTCCAGCCCCAATTCAGAAATATTTCCTACCAGTTCTCTTCTCTGTGTCCCCAGTCTTACTTAACAGTTTTTAACAAATATTTTGGTATGTTGTTTTTGAGAACTTTTCTCAGTAAGGTCAGGTAGTTTCCTGAAAGGGTTGCAAAATGCCACTGAAAATCTAGCTAGGAGAGATTGTGCTTTTGAGATGACTTTTTGGCTTAAATGTGTCTTATCCCAGAAGTGGAAAGAGGATGACCTCAGGAGAAGCAGTGATGTCTCTGTGCATGCTTTCTGCACACTCCTCCCGAGGTTTTCCAGAAAAGGGAATGGCCTGGTGTTGTGTCCATTACAGCTGCCTGAAGGCATTCGCTGTGCTTCCACTGGGTGCAGTAAGCAGGCTCAGGCAGGGCTGGGGACAGCCGGCACTGGTGCCTGCACAGGGCCTGGCCGTAGCATCAGATGAGAAGCTGGAGATTTCTCCCTGGGCCACATTCTTTTCTCAGCCTGGACTGGGGCATTTGCCTGCCCTGAATGGTTAACTGCCCCCCCCCCCCCGCCACTTCTGGCCAGCTGTGGTCAGACAGCCCCAGCGGCCTCCCTGCTCGCCCCTGGGTCTACCATTGGGGAGGCGTATGTTGCTCCCCAGATGCACCGCCCCATGGGCTCTCCCTGTCACTTAAGATGTAGCTCTTTTTCCGGAGGGGCTGGTCCTCCACCCTTCCTCAGGTCCCTTTTGAAGCATTCTGGAGGCACTTCAGAGCCTGGTGCCCCCTCAGCATGGACTGGTGGATGCCTCCATTTCTCAGGCTAGTGACTGATGGGATCACAGATAGACCTTTGTCAACCCCAAGGCACAGCCCATCACTCCTTGCCTTGAGGACTTCTCTTCCTTGTTCCCAGTCCAAGGTGTGTTGGGGGTCCCTACCCCAGACAGAATCTGAATTCCTCCAGAGTCAGATTTCTGCTTTCAGGGCTGAGGCAGCAGGAAGGCGGGGGAGTGGAGAAAGGGGGTGGGAGATGAACAAGGAGGCTGTTTGCTGCCTTCATAATTGAAAAACATCAACGGCTCCTGGGTGGGGGAGGGTGGATAGCACCGCAGTCAATGGAAAAATCAACAGTGGGTAATAATAGCAGTCTTGCTTAACACAGCTTCTGTTGCCAGCGGACAAAAAGAACCAGCTCTTCTGAACGCCAGCAATAGGCACTTACTAACTTTAGTGCTTTTTCATTATATCTTAGAATCTCTTGAAAGAAAAGCCACTCTGGTATCTCCAAATTAGGAGTTCTCTGATTTTGTTTACAACACCCACATTAGTCTGCCCGGGCTGAGGTGATTCCTGGTGCTTTGGGGGCTTATTCAGTAGCTTTAGAGCCAGGGTTGTGGTGTGGGGCAGGGGTGTGAGGGCCCACCGGATCTGTGAGGACTGGGGCAGGGCCTCGCCCTGCTCGGATCCTCTTGTCCTGGCTGCGTGTGACTGAGCGCCCCCTCTCCCTGCAGGAGACCCTGTGCAGTGTGGAGCCTGGGTTGGGCAGTGTGCTCTTTACATCGTGATCATGATTTTTGAAAAGTCTGTCGTCTTCATCGTCCTTCTGATACTTCAGTGGAAAAAGGTTGGCCTCGTGTCTCTTCTTTAGTAGCTCCTTGAGATGCTAAGACAGCACTTTCTCCCCTTGCCACTCCTCCGACCCCAACCCTATTGGAAAACCCAATTTGTGGGTTCTTGTTTTGTTTTGCTTTTCAACTCCACGTGTACACCATGGAGTTGGTCCAATATGACAGCTATTGGCTACCTATCAAGAGCAGTAACTAGTCAGTTTTTACATTGTCTACTTCAGTAACACTAATGTCTGCTGTAGATTAAGCCAGTGGAATATATAAATCCAATGAAAATACAGTCCTGTCTGATAATTAGTCTTCATGCCTTGCAACTATAAATGCCAGGCACGTGTTCTTTACATTTGCAAATGTCGTCTTCACACACCTCTCGGCCAGTGTTTTAGCCAAGCCATTAGGTGCCATAGGCGGCAGCTGGTCACAGGCTGTTCCCCAGGTTCCCACAGCCCTGCCCGCTGCCCCCGGCCCCAGCACTGTGCAGATAGGCCTCCGCTGCCCACCTGCTCCACGTGCCTGCGGGAAACCAGCCGGAGAGGCTTCGGAAATGAGTAGCTTGACCATCCTTCAGTTTTATTTGCAGCTCAGCTTTATTTTTTAAGAATATAAACCAAGGCTTTTTAGAGCTGTTGTCCTTCAGGAGGTGGTTGGGGCACAGGATTTCTGTTAGAAAGTGGTCTGATACCCATTGCAAGTATCTGCAATGATCTCACTCCCCAAGTCCACACCGCAGGGAGAGCTGCTATAGCACGAACTGCTTCAAGTGGTCTCCAAGGGGGGCCCCTCATTAGCAGTCAAATCGGGGGGCTGCGCAGCCATGGCTATGAGGTGACTGTCTAAGCCAAGTTCCCCTCTCAGGGACCCCATGGGTGATTTTCCCTTTGCCCCTCCTTCCAGGTACTTTCTCTGTGGCCTTTCCCCCACCTCACTGAGTCTGCTTGTCTTACAGGTGGCCCTGTTGAATCCCATTGAAAACCCAGACCTGAAACTGGCCATCGTCATGCTGATCGTCCCCTTCTTTGTCAACGTCAGTGCCATGTTGCATTTTTAACCCCAGTTTGCTCCCTGCCTTCCGGTGTTCCTGTTCAAAGTTCTGAGTCTGACAGAAAAAACACCTTACAGCTCTCAGGTCCCTCTGTGTGAGCATTTGCCACCTCCCCATCCCCACCCCAGACCCAGAAATGGCAGGATTGCTTCCTCGCCAGGCAGATCCCTGCTCCAGGGCCTCTGTACAAGGCGTCTTGCCTTCCCTGCTGGTGACCTTCCACTGAGGAGTCCCGCCCCTTGTGTAATGGCGACTTCTAGATCAGGATCATTAGGGTTTCACCCCATCATCTATTCTTGACCACAAAGTTCCAAGAGAAGCTTATGAGCACACTGGCTACAAGCTAAGAAATCAGAGAGAAACCCATAAAGGGACCTGGGTGCCACAGATGTGGCAGCGTGTGCTGGCCAACCCACACAGGGAGGGGCGGGGCCCGGCCCCATTCTGCCAGAGGCTGGGGCAGGGACTGAGGCAGACTCTTCTATCAGTTACCATGAAATCCTTGGGGACGTTGGGTACCCCTGGGGCATCCCAGGATTTTCTTTGCTAGAGGATTTCAAGCTTCTGAGAGATGGCAGGGGGACTGGGTACGGGTTTTCTTTCCCTGGCTGAGGATGTTGTAATCTGGAATGGGTGGGAAGGTTGGGGACCCGGGGTCTGCTCTGCTGCGCTTTCATAAGTGGCTACCCCAGAGTGATCCGTACTTTTCCTCCCCACAGGCTTTCATGTTTTGGGTAGTGGACAATTTCCTCATGAGGAAGGGGAGGACGAAAGCTAAACTGGAAGAAAGGGGAGCCAACCAAGACTCGAGGAATGGGAGCAAGGTCCGCTACCGAAGGGCCGCGTCCCATGAGGAGTCCGAGTCTGAGGTAGGGCCACGCCCTTGTGCTGCTGCCCTGAGGATGCCTCTGGTCTCGGGGCTCATGCCAGCCAGGGGTAGGGAGGAGAGCTGACAGGTCCCAACCAGCCTAGACCTGTTCCTGTTGTGCTGCGTACCTTCCCCAGACCAGGGGGGTGGAGCACCTGGTGGGGGGCGGAGGAGGGGGGCTTCCTGCTACTTCCCTAAACCAGTGGGGAAAGACAGGAAAGGGTGGAGGAGCCTTGTTCCAGGGACGCTGGCAAGGACCCATGGGCCTGACCATTGACCTTTAAGCATTAAGGTGTTTGAATCCATGCCCACCACTAATGAGCAAGAGAAGTGTTGGCTAAGGCAGCTGGAAACTTCTAAAACGCAGGGGTAGCCAGACGTCCCAGGGGGAACTTCGTCTCCTCTTATTTTCAAGTTTCTTAACTTAAAGTTTTGGACTTAAGAGGGACTCCTGGTCATAAACAGGAAAATGAGGCCAGGCCATGTGTCCTCGGCAGCCATCAACACTCAGGTCACACTTCTGTGCTGCCGGTGAGGCAGGGCTGCCCCCTGAGTGTCCTTGCTCAGCTCCAATACTGTGCTGGCCAGTTCGCTGTGAGGGGTCTTCAGAATGACTGAGAATGCCTCCCCCAAAGGCCTTCACTCTTGTGGATGAGGGGAAGGCGAGTGCCTGCGCAGCTCATCATAATAACTGTGTTCTGAGGTGGAGGCATCGACAAAATCCTGTGAGGGCCCCGGGGCAGCCTGTATAACTCCTGGGGCACCCTGAGGGAGTTTCGAAAGCTCAGTAGGTGGTAGGACTGAGTAAGCCCTAGAATCTGGCCTGGGGCCAGTCATGTTGTAAGAGCTCAGTGAGCGTCAGGTGAATGACAGTGTTACAGGCAGGAGCAGCTGCTCCTGAGCAGTCGTGGTCATGTGATTTGGTGTTCGGGTAATGTAAAAGTCGTTTGGGCCAGAGCAGCATGTATTCCGGAAGATGGGATAGAATAACAAAAAATAAGCTAGAGGCAAAGGTCTGAGCTACGTGGGCCAGGTGCTCTGTGATCCAGGCCAAGGGACTGGCACGTGCTTGTGCAGGCGGTAGGGAGCTGGAGAGAGTGTCAGATGAGAGGCTGAGGCTGGAGGCAGGAAACAGTGCAAGGGAGTGGCCCAGGGAGAGGAGGTGAGACTGCCTGCCCCAGCCTGGAGCAGGAGGAGTGCCACACGCAGCGGAGAGTTGGGAGCCTCCACCCGGACCTGGGCTGCCCCAGCCCTTCCCTGGTGCCCAGGGGTTTGAGGGATGAGGCAGGCAGGCTGTGAATGAGTATGGATGCCCTGGGTGCACCGGCTGCAGGGCCGAGTCATTCCAGGGGCTCACAAAGGCGGAGAGCTCCTGCTTGTCTTCAGAAGTTACAAAGTTGGTTTAAAGCGGCTGCTCTGAAATGCCCCTGCATTATGTGTGCCCCACAGATGTTTTCTTTTCCTTTTGAAAGGGGCTTTTCACTGTGCATTTGCTGTATTTGAGGCAGCTTCAAGGACCCGGGACTCCATCTGTCAAGATTGAGCTGTTTTGCCAGGATGACCTTGGGCTGCAGGTCCCTACTGAGTTTGCTCTCACTGGAGCTCGGTCCCAGCTGGAGGCTGGGTAGAGAAATGGGGAGCAGTAGCAGGGGGCAGGGTGTGTCAACTCAGCACTGGTTTCAGTGGCCATGGATGGGATCTAGAGGGGGCCAGCTTGTCTCTTTCTGTAAAGGGGGGTTCCCCATCACGCTCATCTAAAGACAGACGGTACTGAGGCCTCCTGGAGGGGCTGGCACCCCCAGGCCAGGGCCCAGGGAGGGCAAAGGAAGATGACGTCACTGGTGGTGACTTGGGCATGCCTCTCTGCTGCCTCAGATCCTGATCTCAGCCGATGATGAGATGGAGGAGTCCGACACGGAGGAGGACCTCCGCAGACTGACCCCTCTGAAGCCTGCGAAGAAAAAGAAGCACCGCTTCGGGCTGCCTGTATGACCATTCCTGTGCTGAGGGTCAGGTTCGGGACCCAGCCTGCTGCCGGCAGCAGACGATGGTCACTCTGCAGGGTCATTCCTTCCCTCCTCTCTCTGCCCCTCCTCTTCTACCTCCATCCTCTCGCTGTCTCTGCCTACTCCCAGACGACTGTGACTTGAGAGAGGGAGGAAGAGCCAGCGCCGAGGGGACCGTGGCAGTTGGAGGCCTCCACTCAGTTGCACTACAAACACTGACCAAATATGCAAGCAAGGCGTTTTGTTTGTTTGTTGTCGTCCTGATGGTGTTGTGAGGGACCCAGAAGCCCTGTTCTGTCTGCCTGGGTGGCGTTAAGGAAAAACACACACAGATTGTGTATAGAGCCTTCCCCAAAGGCTTCGGGAATGAAAACATAACATGTTTTGGGCTAAAAGTCACTCACTGACGAAGTTGGAACCACAATGCTTTCTTACTCAAAATGGCTTTTATAACTATTGATTTCTAAAGTCAGTTTTATGAGCTGTCACAGTGTTAATGTTTTTTGAGTATGTGTTTATTTCCTATGGGACTAATGGGCAAAACATAGATTTTTAAGTCTTCCGTATGCCGTTGACTTTTATATTTTTAAGTTATATTTTCATACTATTGTATTTAAAAACTTTTTAATTCCCAAAGAAATGGGTTTGTTTGCCTTTTGTGGGATGTGAACTAGTGGGAGGAAAAAGTGGAGAGTTTTTTTATCCGGAGTATTGTTAGGTGATCTGTGATAAGATGAGGTAGTGGGCCCAGCAGGAAGGGAGGTGGGCCCTTACCTGAAGTCGGCAAACCCAGTGGTTCTATGAAGGCCAGGGCTGAGCAGGAGGCAGAAACAGTCAAATGCGGATCCAGTGTCCTGTGCATGCCAGCACCCAGCGGCTCCTTGGCATTTCTGCTGGCTGCGTAGAGGTCTTAGTTAAATGTGACCAAGAAAAGAGTCTCAAGAGGTCTTTTTGTCCAGAGAAATTGAGACTAAAAGGCCACGTCTCTTTGTTCCCTACCTGTCATCAGAGCCTCCCAATCCGCAGTTTAAAATGTCCTCTCGGCCTCCTTGCCTCCCACTGTGCAGCCTTCAGAGCCGGTTTCTGGACCCAGCCCAGGTCAGGCTGCCCCGGGCCTGTTATTGCCTCCATTTTTATTTTGCACAAGAATCTGGAGAACGTCTGCCTGACCAAATGATCCTGTTTTTCACGTGTTCCAGGGCTGTGGTGTGGCTGCACCCACAGATGGGACAAGATGCTTCTAAGCTGTGTCCCCTCCGTGGGGGGTGACACCCGCTCAGCCTGGGCACGGGCCCATGTGGCTGGGGGTCGGCTGACTGGCAGTGAAATGGGCCGACCTGGGCGCTCGCCCTGCTGTGGCAACAGCACAGTGGAGCGGCCCCATGTTGTCACAGCCAGTGGCAGCCGTGGGAGCTTAGGAACAGTACCGCACTGCTGGGTGTGAGCTGCGAGGGAGACGGGCAGGGAGGCCGCACCACCCAGGACCTTTTTAGACCTACACAAAAACGTGTTTCGCATAAGATTGGACCTGAATTGTGGCACTGAGCCAGGCTGTTCAACCAGGCACCTTGGGCCGTTCTCTGCCTGTCACCCGTGTGGGACATGGGGGGCCAGCCTTGGGGAGGCCTTCTCACTTCATCTTCTCTAGGAGTCCGCAAGCCAGAGGTCTGAGGGGAGCCGGATCCTGTAATGGCAGTAGGAGGCACCTCTGCCATGTGGGCATCGGGCCAGAGAGAAGAGGCGAGGCTGAGCAGTGCCTCACGTGAGATTGGAGTCCCGTCTCCTTGGGTAAATCACTTCCATTCCCATTTTACGCCCTTTACCCCCCTCCCATCCTCTTGCTGTGTTAGTGGGTATCTCCCCACAAGAGAAGTGGCATTTGGGAAGACCAAGGTCCCTTGTGGCATGGCTGACTCTGCTTTTTACTCCTATATCATTTTGATTTGAACAACCTGTGCCCACAGCTGTTTCTTGAACCTTCCTGAGCTCAGAATCGGAGCTTCATTTTCTGTGTTGAGCCCCTCATGTTTCCAAACTGCAGATAGGGTGGAGGAGCCGTAATCCTGGGTTATATAGACCTCAGGTGGCCTGCTCACTTCAAGGCTCATCCCCGTGCCTACTGGGTAGTGGGTTTGGGGGGCAAAGAGGTGTGAGTGAAGGGTGATTTCTCCCCGTGCCCTCATTTTCAGTAAGGGCTGTCGTCTCTGAGCTGTAGCTATGTAGCTGGCTAACTAGGAGATGGTGTCAGATCATCGAGGGCCTTGTGCTAAGGGGCTGGGCAGTGTGGCCTCGCGTGTTTGGCCTTACCCTCCTCCTTAGTTCGTGCATCCATGCACGTGCACACACACAGCACAGAGTTTGTATTCCCTGGGAACGTGTCCTGCATCAGGGTCTTTCTGTGGTGCACCGCCCAGAGAGAGCGGGTGCCGAGGGCCCGTCAGGACCTCTCCTGAGCCGTCCTCCCTCCCCGGGTGGACTTCCTCACCACCTGCTCCAAGGTGCCTTATGAGGTGCAGCTCTTTACTCAGCCACACGGCAAGCATCACTGTGCTTGAGAAACCATAGGACACCGACAGGACGTTGTTCACTACCCATCTCATTTGTCAGTGCTGGACCTTGGCCAACCACCCATGATGGAACATTTAAGCCAAGGTCATGAACAAGTTTCTTGTAACTAATGGAAATAACCTGAAGAGGTAGAACTGTCATATCTGAATGGAAGAGATGATTGTGGCTTTCCTTTAGCTGTCGGTGGGATGTGGACAGTGGTAAGGAGGGATGTTGGTGGCATTCCAGTAGCAGTGGCCTCTTAGCCCACTCAGCCTGAGAGCTGTGAGGTGAAGCCCTCCGTCACACTGGTGGCCTCCTGCCTCAAGCTTTAACTCGGCCCCCTCCTGGCAAAAGGGAGTCCTGGGTTAATGTTGGCTTGTCTTGCCTCTAAAGGGAAAACGCAAAGGCTCAAGCACACGTTGCATCTTCCCCTAGGCAGCTGAGGCCGGTAGGCTGCTGTCCAGCGTCCCTGACTGAAAGTGCCCCAGGCCTGCAGCCCATTCTGCCCTGCTGACAGCAATGCACTGGCCTTTTTGCAGCCAGGCCGCCGTAGGTGACACTGGGAATTCACATCATCCAGAGCAGCCACCTTGTAAGGTATAGGGCTGGCTTTTCGAAGTTTCATGCACTTCCACCTTGGAGGGGAGAGCTCTCCGTTTTACCCTGTGAAACACTGGCAGCCGGGAGGGCTTTGTTCTTCGTGAGGGACTTCTGGTCCAAGTGCTGTCAGTACCTTGAGCTGCTGGGCAGGTGGGTTGGTTTAATTTGATTTCCCTTTTCATGATTTTTATTAGAAGTCAGACATATGTGAGCAAAAAACATGGCCTACTTCCACTGTCTGCCTAGGGGGGTGTTTAATTTTGGTGGTACGATTCACAAAAACACATTTTTGAAATGAAAGGGAAGACGATGTACTCACATTGTAAAATGGTTTACAATAAAGTTTGACATCTTATTACAGTCTTTTTAAAAAAAGAAACCATCACTTTTGTGCTTGTTGGTGTGTGTTCCCTGGAGTTGAAACAGCTTAGTGGTGTCAAGAAAACTTCCCCAGGGTGTTGGAAGGTTGTCCCTAGGAAACAGTGAGAATAAACGGTACATTGCCTCATGGCAGATGTGGGAACCAAAATCTGCTGAGAAAAAAGTATACTGTTACATTTCCACTTCTCTGCTGTTGTGAGTAAAAGTGACTCTGTGTCCCCTAAGGAGCAAGTAGTGCTGGGAGATGGAGTGTGAGAAGTAAACATCCTACATCCTTGTCCCTGGGGCCACAGGGCGAGAAGGCAGGTGCTTCCCTGGGCGGAGCCAGCTGTGGAGGCAGTGCTAGAAGCCCGGGTCGGGGTCGGGTCCGGTCTGGGAGCTGGGCCCTCTCAGGCCGTGCCTGCCCTCAGGGCCTCTTGGCCCCCGTTTGGAGTCCTGGGTTTATGCCTGAGGCTATCGGAAGGCATTTCTCCTGTCAGCACTTGTCTCAGATGGAGCCTGGCCGGCTTCACGTTGGCCTCTTGGGGTCAAGCCCAGGCAGGGGAGGGCTTGGGTGGGGTTTGAGGTATGAGAGCAGTGGAGTTGCATTCTGGATAACCAGATGTCGGTGCCTGGTTGGGTTCTGTCTGCATGGAGCCTTCAAGGATAGAAATAATCTCACCTTTACTGCCCATACTCACCCCATACTCACCCAGGGTCTTCCCTTCAAGGATGGGGGTTTTAGGAGCCAGCAGTGGAGAACTAAGTGACCTTTGAGGGAGCCTTTGGGTGTGTCCCTCCACAGCTCAATACCTGCAGTGTCACTCTATCCCACCCTCTTTCAGCCACCTAAGTGTCCTCAGGCCCGGTGCCCTTTGGTGAACTTAACTCAGTCGGAAGCTCAGTGCTGTTTCCTGGCATCAGCTCACTTTTGCACAAAGCATGATTTCCCCCTGGTCCTTCTTGGACCTTTACCTGCTGCCTTCTTCATCCCTTTGCTCAGTGTGTGCTGGGAGCAAGACAAAGGACAGGGCGTCACCAAGCCACCACTGGGGAGTTCCCCAGGCTTCCCTCGGCTGCAGTTTCTCCACCTGTGGACCGGGGTACCCTGTGCTCTGAGTCTACCACGAGGGCCTAGGGAGCTCACAGTGAGCAAAGCTCGCGAGAGGCAGACACAGGAAACTCCCTCCCTGCTCCTGGGCAGGATGGAAAGCCTTTCCTCTGGAATCCAAGGAAGGGGTAGAAGAGAAAGAGAAACAAGTTCAACACAGTCCAGCCTGGCCCAGGACCCTCCCTTCCTCAAGGACACCCCCACACTGGGATGGACTGTCGCAGATGGACAGCGTCTACTGCCACACACACATTCCAGGACCCACATTCATAAACACGCAAGTCACTGCCAGTCCCGGCACCTCCTGCCTGGAAGCAGAGCAGCTGTCTGTGTCACCAGGGCTGCAGGCTCCCGGGCTGGGGCGCTCAGCGAGCCCCTAACAGCTCCGAGAATAAACTCTGAAGCCAGTGGCTGTGTGGACCTGAATCATAGGGGAGCCTGTTGGAGCAGGGGGAGTGACTTCCCAGGACAGGCAGGCGGGCTATATAAGCTCCAGAGGACTGGACACCGCTCACATCTCTCCCAGCAGCCACTGCCTGCCAGAGGCGCCTTTGGAGCAGCTCTCCCACGGCACCCACCATGTCCCAGGTAGGGGGGCCCAGCACATGGGTGTGGTGGGGCGTTGCGGGTGGGCGGGGAGCGGGACACTATCATCGCTGGCAGCTGTATTTCAAGCTGAGCTCCAAGCATAAACAGCTCAGGGAGGAGAGCCCCCCCCACCCCCAGCTTACCCTGAGAGACCCATGTTTAGCTTGGGCTTACTGGTGTTCCATGGCTGCTTAGGAGGGCTAGAGGGGCTGCGTGGTACCGCAGGATCTCTGCGTGTGTCTTTATGTGGGAGGAGACTGCTTGTATGACTTGGTGTGTGGAGTTTGTGTTGGTAGCTGTGTGTGTACACGCGTGATGTGTGCAGCTCTGTGCAGGGCTGTAGTGTGTGGCCCAGGAGCCCAGCTCAGGCTCAGGGACCAGGGAGTCGTTGCACCTGCCTCTAGGGCCTAGGAAATAGTAAGGCCTCAGACTCCCAGGCACCTGGGGCTTAAGGGGAGAGTAGGCACTGTGTCCCCGGTATCCCCAGCTCTGGAGGGACAGAGACCAGCCTGCTAAGAGGAGGGTTGTCCTTATGCTCGCTCCATGGGCAGATGCTGACTTTGGACTGTGACTTCATGAGCATCTGATTCCTGTACCACATTCCCACCCCAAAGCCCACAAGGTAGATACTGGCACCTTGCGAGGAGAGTGGAAATAACTAAGGGACCCTCGCCACCACCCAGAGAGCAGGTCTTGGTACTCACCAAAAGCCTTGTAATTCAGCCTCAAAGCCACTCCCTTTCCCCTTTGTGCCCAAGCTGGAGACAGTGTGAGGCCACAGCCTCACTCACAGCTCCCAGTCTGTGGGAGGGGCAGAGAGACGGGTGGGAGGTCAGGGGGTGAGGTATAGGCAGGAAGGATTCCTGGAAAAATGGGGCCTTGGATTGGCTTGAATTCAATGAGCAGGGAAGAGGGGTCTCAGGGCTAAGGGAGGGGTGGGAAAGGGGGTGTTTCAGCCCGAAGGCCTCGGGTTATAAGACGAAGCTCTGGGCTCTCCAAGGCTGGCTGTCAGGAAGCCCCCATCAAGAAGAAGCGCCCCCCTGTGAAGGAGGAGGACCTGAAGGGGGCCCGAGGGAACCTGGCCAAGGACCAGGGGATCAAGTCGAAGACCTACCAGGTCATGCAGGAGTGTGGTGAGTGTTCTCAGGGTGCTGGCGGTGGGGGGTGCAGATGTGTGAAAGTAATGCAGGGGAGGGGGGAGGTCCTGTGGGTCCTCTCGGAGAGTCCAGAGCCCCTGGGCCCTGCGCGCTGCTCCCCACAAAAGGGGCCTGCCTTCCCTACGAAGCTGGGCTGGCCCCCTGAGCACACCTCCTCTCCGTCCTCCCGGCAGAGCAAGCGGGCGTCGCCGCCCCATCCGTGTTCAGCCGCACGCGGACCGGCACTGAGACCGTCTTCGAGAAGCCTAAAGCCGGACCCGCCAAGAGTGTCTTTGGCTGAGAAGAACACACCACACCACTCCCCTTGGCACTGCCAACACCTAAACACAGGAGTCTTCCCAAGAACTCTTCGTGCCAGAACTCACCTGCTCCCCTGTTGCCTCTGGGACTGCCCCCTCCCCGTGCCCCCCCCAACCCAGCCCTGACCCCTCAGCCCAGGAACTCAGCACCAGCACCTGGGAAACACCAATAAAGAGGATGCCTGAGCAGCCCTAGCATTTGGAGGGTGTTTTTTTGGTCACTGGCCATGGCCCCTGAGTGTGGGGGGTGGGCAGCAGTGTGGGGTGTGGGCATGTTCTGTACCCTTCATGTCTTTTGGGAGGGTCCCAGAGGATAATGAGGTGCTGCTATGGCCACTGCTACATAGTAGAAAGAGCCTCGGAAGCAGAGATCTGGTACTGGCCTGTGTGACTTCAGGCCCTCCCTCCTCTTCAGAGGCTGTTTCCCCTTGTCTGTACCAGAGCTGAGCTGGAGCCTGTTGCATAAAAAGTCCCAGTGACACTGCTCAGAGTGAAGCAAGTGGGTGTCCTCCACAGAAGCTGTTGAGACGCTGCTAAGGACCCCAGGGCCCTGCAGGAGCCAAGGCCCTCCGAGCCCCCTTCCCCTGCACCCCTGTTCTGCTGCCTTGCTGTCTTGCATCCCTCAAAGACAAAGCCACGCGCCAAGTCTCCTGTGGCCGGTAGCAGTCTGCTTCCTGAGCTATGTGCCCCCCGACCCCAAATTCAGGGTGAACCTCCCCCTTGCCAAGCTCACAGCTCTGCCTGAGCTGTGGGAAAACCAGGTTCTGGGCTCATGTGAGATCCCTTACTCTCCAGGCCTGTGTCCCTTGTGTGCCTGTCAGATTCAGGGGATGGCAGAGGCCTGTCGAGCTGTGACAACAGGACTACAGAGAGTCCAGGGCTGGGCTGGCTGGGCCTGGGTTCGCAGTGCCTGGGTCAGCGCTGTGCCTCCCGAGGAGCCCTGCCTGTCCCCTGGGCAGGTGGAGCCGTCTGCTCGGAGCCTTTCCCACGTTCCAGGCCAGCCTGGCCTCCTTTTATAGCTGTTGCCAGGCTGGGCCTGTGTTCTGTGCCCCAAGGGAACAGAACTTCTGTGGGGACAGGACCTAGGCCTGCTCCTGGACTCCTTTGGGAGGCTCTTCCCCCAGTTTGTGGAAAGGGTACGGCCCCCTGTGTAAGTCCCAATCATATCAGAGCCAAAGGGCGGGCAGCATAGCTACGCACAGAGCTGAGGCTTCTGGCTGTAGTCACGAGAAGGAAGGTGAACTTGTATTGCAGCCACAGACAGCTCCAAAGTCCATGATGCCCTCCCCCCGGGGCCAGATGCAACTGCCATTGACCAAGGAGAAGACCCCTTCCCGGCCCTCTGCAAGCCAGGCACTGCCCAGGGTCCCGTGCAGGCCCTCAAGATGGCGGGCCCCGCCCCCGCCCCGCCCCGGGCTTGTGTCCGGCAGTCCTCCTTCCTCGGCCCAGGGTTTGGCACCTGGCCATGCCTTTCTGAAGCATCTACCCCACTGCGCCACTGACCCTGCAGGCGGGCTTTCCCAGAGCCACCAGGGACACAAGCACCAGCAGCATCTGGATCCCCTGTTTATTCTATTGCTGTTTGTTTTCAAAGCATTTTAAGTTTATTAGAGGGAAATTGAGCAAAGTCATTGGTAATCCTACCCCCGGCCCTGGGTCCAGGCTCATGACAAGGGCACTGCCGTGGTGCACCCTTTCCCAGGCGGTGACTCGTGGATTCCCTTGGTGTGACTGACCTCCACGCAGACCACCTGAGTGTACGCACTGCCACCTGGATTGCCCCCTTGAAGAGCTCTGTCCTTTCTCTTTCGTTCTACAGTTTACTCTCAGTAAATTCCCCTCAGGGAGGCCTCTGGACCACAAAGTGTGGGCATCTTTTTGGCTCTCAGTTTGTATTGCCAAAGTGTAGGTCTTGTGTTAGCGGCCTTGCTGGAGTTGAACCAAGAGCCCTGGGTAGATTAATGGGACCTGAACAGTAGCCTGGGAGCCCATGAGAGAGAAGGGGTCTCCTGGGCTCAGCCACTCTCTCCCCAGAAATAAGCAGGTCCATCTTGCCTTGGCCCCAGCAGATCTTGTCCCACCCAGACACCCTAAGGGTGCTCAGAGCCTTTAGGGCCCTACTGCCCAGTCACAGGGGCTGGCCTGCAGGCTCCTTCCTCCCAGAAGCAGCCCCCAGCCCTCCGTTTCCCAGCAATCCCTCTGTTCCTCCCAGGCTGGGCTTACGGAGAGTGGCCTGGTTCACTGCTGTATCCCCCAGTCCTGGGGAGCAACTGGTGTGGAGTGGTGGTGACCTAGGAAGCTTCTAGAACTTTGAGGAGGGTTGCCTATACCAAGTTTGCACCTGAGCCTGCCTTTTCTCAGCATAGGAAGTCTTCAAATAACGTCGTTTCATTCAACCTCCTTTGGTTATATTGTTAATAAGGGGGAAAAAATTGATTCCCTGCTGGGACCACAGTGTAAAGTTTACACATCCTGCCCACGTCTTCACAGATTTTCCCTGCATCCTTCAGTTTCCTCCCACATCCCGAAGGTGTGCACGTGAGGTGAACTGGCGTGTCTGCATTGTCCCAGTCTAGCGTGGGTGTGCCTAAGTGTGACCTTTGATGGAAGGCTCTTCTGTCCAGGCTGGGGTCCCATGTTATGCCCTGAGCTGCCGGGAGAGGCTTTGGCCACCTGCAACCCTGCACTGGAGCAAGTAATTATCTTACTCATTTTTATTAATCTTTCTTAAATATATGTACAGCTCACATTTATTTCAGTGTTTATATTAGAGGTGTTTTGATGTTTTGCTTAGAAGTTTGGTGGTGTTTTTGTGATCAGAAATAAGGCCGTAGGCCCTGGCTGGCGTGGCTCAGTGAATGGACTGAGCACCAGCCTGCGAACCAAAGTGCCACCGGTTTGATTCCCCTTCAGGGCACATGCTTGGGTTGCGGGCCAGGTCCCCAGTTGTGGGTGTGCGAGAAGCAATCACACATTGATGTTTCTCTCCCTCTCTTTCTCCCTCCCTTCCCCTCTGTCTAAAAATAAATAAATAAAATCTTTAAAAAAAAACCACAAAAGGCCTTAAGAGCTGAACTTGTTTATGTCAGTTAGCCTCAGGTAAAATATATATCATTTCACTTAAAAGTTGCAGTTTCCAAGAATCTATCAATGACATTGAGGACTTACTGTACATGTTCCTGTCCCCAGCCAAGGTCCACAGGACATTTGCAGTTTGCTTGCTTATCTGAGGCCACTGTAAGTTTTGGCTTGTAGATCCTGATTTCCTAGAACCTGCCCCCACAGGGGCGGAGCAGCAAGCAAGTTACTAATTCATTCCCCACTTTCAAGTTCAGAAGCAGCCTGCCAGGCACTGGAGTCAGAATGAAGACCCCAGCCTCTGCCCACGCCTGTGGCATTGTGTTGGTCCTGCTCTCACTGCTGGCTGTCCTCCAGACCACCTCTGCCCGACAGGTAGTGGGCGCCATGGGCAGCTGTGTGCGCACCTGGGAGGGAGTGCTATGAGCTGGGGCGCGCGTGAGCTGGAGGGGAGCTTGTGTGTGTGTGTGAGAGACTGCCAGTACAAGTGAGCCCAGATCAGTGAATGTGAAGGAAACAGTGCTGAGCATCCAGCAGGCACTGCCCTGAGGGCTTAATGGCCACTCTCCCATTCCGTAGCAGGGGTGATCCTATTCCCATGTTCCAGGTAAGGAATTGCAGTACAGCAAGTTGCCCCTGGAGGCCGGCAGTGGATGGGGCGGGGTGGGGTGGGTGAGAGTGGGCCCTGCCTCCTCCTGGGTGAACAACCTCAATGAAGTTATACCACCTCTATCTCACTTGCCTCATCTGTGAAACAGGGCAGTAATAGAATCTATTCGGAGAGTCGCTGTAAAAATGAAATGTATAACACTATAAAGTGCTTAGTACAGTGCCTGGCTCTGAACAGACAAGCCGTTCAGCCAGTCACCCACCTCTGTGCTAAGCTACGTGTGTGGGTGAACAGAACTGGTGTGTATACGAGTGTGCCCCATGCAGGCAGGCAGGAGGTGTGTAAGGCTCCTCACATGTACACATGGGAACCTTAGACCTGGGTCAGTGAACTGCAGGGATAGACAGGGGCACTGGGGAGGGTTCAAGGCTGCAAGGAAAGGGGGCAAAGAGGGTTCTCGGCTCTTAGAGAACGGACCCTCAACACCTCCAGATTCTCCCAGCTCCTGTAGGCCCCTGTGGGAGACTGGCAGGGGCTGTCTTCCTCAGTTTGTATGGAGGCCAAGGCCGCCAGAAATCAAAGGAGTTTGTTTGCTGCCCTTTCAGTGCGCGGAGCTCAGACCTAAGCTTCCTGAGCCCACCAGGGTCAGGATAAGTGAGAGTCCCCTCCCAGACTCACTGGGGCTCAGGCTCAACCACCCCCTGCGTGGTTGACAGGCCAGTCCCTGCCCCATGGCACTGTGGGGTGGCCAGTGAAGCACACAGCTACCTCTTATTTGAGAGAGAGGTTTACATATGAAATGCCCCACAAGGTTTAGCCTGAGTCTGATTGGTTGTTCAATCAGGGTTGGGGGCCAGGGCTTGGTTTGAGACCTAGGTCAGGGCCTCCTCTTGAAGAGCGCTGCCCAAGCTGGGCCGGTGTTGAAGCGGTCCCACCCCTCTTCCTTCCCTGGTCCAGAATGGCATCGACATCTACAGCCTCACCGTGGACTCCAAGGTCTCATCCCGATTTGCCCACACAGTCGTCACCAGCAGGGTGGTCAACAAAGCTGATACTATGCAGGAGGCCACCTTCCAGATGGAGCTGCCCAAGAAAGCCTTCATCACCAACTTCTCTATGTAGGTGCCTTCCTGCCCACCTCCTTGCTGCCCCTCCCCAACCCAGCACGGCCACCCCATCCCCTGCCCCACAACCGTGTCCTTCAGGAAGAGAAGACCTCTTCCTGATGTGAGGTGTGTGCGCTCCACCTGTAGGCAATGCAGGGAACCAGAGGCTTTACTCAGGAACTTCGTGCATCCTCAGACGTGTTTCCTCCATCTGCCACTCCCTTCATCCCTTCCTCCCTCCATCTGTCCCTTCCTCCCTCCACCCCTCTCTCCATCCTCCCCTTCATCCATTCCTCCACTTATTCCTCCCTCCTCCCGTCCCTCTCGTCTTCCACCCCTCTCTCCATCCATTCCTCTGTCATTCCTGAGTGCTGCCCAGGTGGCAGCTAGAGAACTACAGCATTTTTGTGTCCTTTCCTTTGAGGAGCACAGACTTGGGACATCCTGAGGCCAGGCCCAGACCAGAGGGAGTCACCAAAAGGCAGATTCCAGCCTAGAATACAGAAAACTTCCTAACCCCGGGCTGCCCCACCAAGGATTGCTGCCTTGAGGTGTGGGACCTCCTTATCACCGGAAGTTCTAAGCCAGCTAGTCCCCGCACCCCCAACTGGGATACTGCAGAAAGGGCATTTATTTCTGCTGGGGTCAGAGGCCACATTAGGAGGCCCCTGGGGTTTCTGTGGACTCTGTGAGCTGATAATGATCCTCACCTTGTCCTTTACTGTCCTCCCCCACCCTTCCCGATTCAGTTTTGCAATGTTTGCTAAACACTTGGTCTGTCCCTTTCCCCACCAGAGAGGCAGGCAGTGAGGACAGGCTGGAGAGAGGCTGATCCCTGAAACTCAGGGAGGGTGACGGGGGAGCAGAGAGTGAGCCTTTCCTCAGGCAGGGCCCCAGGGTGCCCTGGGGCCTCTGAAAAACTGCAGTGGGGGCCGGTCCCTGTGGTTGGCGCCTCTCTCCCTCCCTGCAGAGCCAGGGCCTATGCTGCCCGACTTGCAGCATGTGCTTCACAGGCCGCTCCCAGCCCTGCCCACGGGTGCCCACGCCACCAGATTGCGAGGCTCCAGGCCCAGCGCATCTGCTGAGAGCCCAGGACTTGCACCTCTCTCTGGGCCCAGATCCTGATGCTGCCTGAGATAGGGAAATGGGGGGTGGGGCAGGGTGCCCTGCCCCCTGACCTGCCTGGGACCCCATCTAGGCTTCTGGGAGGAGAAGCCCTGCAGCCCACACACCAGCCCCATCCCTAGCCCAGGGTTAAAGTATGACCAGGAAGGTCAGCATGGCGGGAAAGAGGGACACTCGGTCCTGATGTCCTAGCTGCCCTTCCCCACCTACCCCTGCACACTTCCACCCTCTCGTGGTACCTCCAGCTGGAGCAGGCTTATGTTTGCCTGCCACATCCCTACTCACCCCACAAGGAGGTTCTAGGATATTCATCTTCTCCCCGGAGGAACCGCCTGAGCAGTTCTCTTGGTCCCAAAGAACAGCCACTAGGATTGTGTCCACACCCCTGGGAGTCCCATCCATTTTCCCAGAGGCCACACAACCTGCAGAGTACCCTGCCCTGTGCTGGTGGGAAGAGGGCTCAGAGCCTTTCAGCCCCAGGTCTTCCACTAGCCTGGGAGCGGGCATCTCCTGGCTCCTCAGCCTGCCCCACACTGCTGGGCACAGGGCTGGGTGCAAACGCAGCTCACAGAACTCCCTCTGGTGATCAGCTGGTTCCTCTGGAAACAGTCTATGAGGTGGAGGGGGCAAATGGAGTATGGGGCCAGACTAGAAGGGAGAAGGGAGGCCGGGACTTAACTGAGCCCTGCCTCCTCTGCGACCTCTCCCCTGTCCATTCAGTATAATGGATGTTCACTGACACTGCGTGCCTCGGGGTAGATGGAGGCCTGCCGTACCTTGCAGAGGCCACTTGCCCTTACCCAGGGTCCCGCACAGAGTCTTGTACACGGAGGCGCATAATAAATGGGTGAGGTCCGGCAAAGGTGGGAGTCACTGTATCAAGAGGCACACCAAGTCCCAGAGAGGCTCCCTGGAGGAGGTGGGATTGGAGTGGGCTTCCCCCACCAGGCTCTCACCAACACATGCCCTCCTGCCCCAGGATCATCGACGGTGTGACCTACCCAGGGAACATCAAGGAGAAGGATGCAGCCCAGAAGCAGTACAGTGAGGCTGTGGCCAGGGGACAGAGCGCTGGCCTCGTCAAGTGAGCCCAAGGGGGTGTGGGGACCCCAGAGAGGGTGGGGCAGAAGCTGCCCCTGCCTTCAGCCCTTTAGCCCTGGCCCTTCCCCAGTGTTCATACCCCACCTAGTCTACAGGGGCAGACCTGATGCCCTCCTCCTCCAGGGCCACCGGGAGAAAGATGGAACAGTTCCAGGTATCTGTCAGTGTGGCTCCTGCTGCCAAGGTCACCTTTGAGCTGGTGTATGAGGAGGTGCTCAAGCGGCAGCTGGGAGTGTACGAGCTGCTGCTAAAAGTCCGGCCCCAGCAGCTGGTCAAACACCTGCAGGTACCTGCCACTGTCTCCTCCCAAGAGGCCTCCTAGATGACCCCTGCGCTGCTGAGGATGGCCCCTCCTTCCCCCCTGCCTCCCGTTAGGCCCAGCCCTGGCTCCTGGCTAACCCGGTGGCCCACTTCTTCCCTCCAGATGGACATTCACATCTTCGAGCCTCAGGGGATCAGCTTTCTGGAGACAGAGAGCACCTTCATGACCAAAGAACTGGCAAACGCTCTCACCACCTCACAGAACCAGACCAAGGTGGGCCTGCCACAGTCGGCTGGTGAGGGTACCAAAGGGCCTATCTGCAGGCTGGCCCTGTGAGCCTGAATTTCCAGAGAGTGGGACAGTTGGGCAGAACCTCCAAGCTGGATAGACTTCTGAGGTCTCTGTGTCTGTGCTGACACAGGGCAGACGGGGAGGGCGAGCTCAGAGGAGGAGGGCAGGTGCTGGTTTGAACCCTGAGATCAGGGGACGAGGACTTGGAGAGGACACTGCTGTGAGGGTCCCGGGGCCGCGGGAAAGGAGGAGGCAGCTGCGTTGCACACAGCCCGAGCCCAGCCTCTGCTTGCACAGCCCCAGGAGCAGACGCTGCAGGCTCGCACCCCACCTGCTGTACTGAGACAGTCTATCTGACAGCTCAGCCTGAAAGTTCCTGGGATTTGACTCAAGACTGCGCCCTGGAATTCTCACTGCAGACAGGGTCAGGGGTGCTGTTGGCATGGCCTCGCTGCTTCTCCCAACTTCAGCCTAGTCATTTCTCCAGGCTCACATCCGATTCAAGCCGACACTGTCTCAGCAACAGAAGTCTTCAGAGCAACAGGACACAGTCGTGGATGGCGACTTCATTGTCCGCTACGATGTGAACCGGACCCTCTCTGGAGGCTCCATTCAGGTGCGTGGGCTCCAGAGAGCAGAGTAACCAGGAAATCCATCCATCCTCAAGAGTTTGAACCTGGGTGTTCTAGAAGAAAAGGCAAAAGCAAAACAAACAAAAAAAAAAACGGCTCCTGCTTATCGGTGTGGACCAAGGGCAACACAGACAGAAAACGAGCAGTTTAGTTTTGCTGTCCCTGCAAGAATTCCCTTTCAGAGACAAAAAAAGTTTCATCTCTACTAAAGAGCTGCACTGCAGGTTTTCCCCTGTTGTCTTGGCTGCCAGGAGGCTCACAGATCAGTTTTATGCTCAATTGCAATAGCTTCTTTCACAGAAGTCCTGGCATCATTGTGCTTCTCCTTTACACTTTTCATGGACCTTGTTTGAGGAGTCTTCATTCTTTTGATGGATCTCAGGTTTATTATATCTGGACCTTTTAGGATAAACTGCCTCAAATATTCAAACAAATAGGAGGTAAAGGGAAGGTAGAGTTCTCATGGGCCATACGTGAGCAGGGAAGGCATCAGCAAGAGAGCACCCTAAAAGATGGTCGGGATATGGGGAGATTAGCAGTGGAACAGAGATGGAGGGGCTTAAAGAGAGAATGGGGACCCAAGGATTTGGGGTAAGGAGCCTGGGTGGGGTGGGGGCAGGGCAGGGCTGCAACTCTCGTCACCTGGGCGCGCCTCACTCTGGTCACAGATCGAGAATGGCTACTTTGTGCACTACTTTGCCCCTGAAGGCCTGCCCACAATACCCAAGAATGTGATCTTTGTGATTGACAAGAGTGGCTCCATGATGGGCCGGAAAATCCAACAGGTGGGTCTCATGGGCCAGGGCAGGGCCCTGAAAACTCTCCAATGCCTCACACTATCAGCTCTGGTCCAGCAGGGAGACCCTTCCTCCTCCATATTCCTGATTAGGGGCCTCCCAGCAGTCAAGGTTGGTCAGAGTATGGGGCTTGTCCTGCCCCTAGAACATTCACCATGTCCCCACTCCAGTTATAGGTCTGGGGGTGCAGCCTTCTATGGGGAACCCCCAAGAAGGCCCCACTGAGACACGCACCTTGTCTCCCCTTCCCCTGACCAGACCCGGGAAGCCCTAATTAAGATCCTAGATGACCTCAGCCCCAAAGACCAGTTCAACTTCATCAGCTTCAGCGGGGAAGCAACCCAGTGGAAGCCATTGCTGGTGCGAGCTTCGGCCGAGAATGTGAATGTGGCCAGGGGCTACGCTGCCAGCATCCAAGCCCAGGGAGGTGCGCACCATGGCACCCCTGCCGGGTGGGAGCTTCCAGGCACTGAGCCCCTCCTGGGAGCCATCCTGAGAGTGTGTGCCCCTCAGGGACCAATATCAATGATGCGATGCTGATGGCTGTGCAGCTGCTGAAGAAAGCCAACCAAGAGGAGCTGCTGCCCCCGGGGAGCATCTCCCTCATCATCCTCCTCACCGATGGCGACCCCACCGTGGGTGAGAGCACTGCCAACTCAAGGGCACCCCACCCAGAGAGAGCAGCTGGGCCTCCATCCTGGCTTGCTGTGGGACCTGGGGACGGGAGGGGTTCTCTGAGGCCCCTGTCGTTCTGAGAGTCCAAAAATATCCCTTGAGCAAATCACTGTTTTCTCACCCCTGTCCCAAACCCTGCATCCAGGAGAGACTGACCCCACAAAGATCCAGAGGAACGTGAAGGATGCCATAGACGGCCAGTACAGCCTCTTCTGCCTGGGCTTCGGCTTCGATGTCAGCTACAACTTCCTGGAGAAGCTGGCACTGGACAACGGCGGCCTGGCTCGGCGCATCTACGAGGACTCGGACGCTGCCCTGCAGCTGCAGGTGCCTGCCTGCCCCTGGGGGTGGCATGAGTGAGGGATGGCTCAGAGAGGCGGGCAGACTCCATCTTACCCTTGTGACACCACTGTCCCCCAACCCTGCAGGACTTCTACCAGGAGGTGGCCAGCCCACTGATGACAGCAGTGACCTTCGAGTACCCAAGCAACTCTGTGAAGGAGGTCACGCAGAACTCATTCCGGCTGCTCTTCAAGGGCTCTGAGATGGTGGTGGCTGGAAAGCTCCAGGACCAGAGCTCTGATGTGCTCTCAGCCAAAGTCAACGGGCAGCTGGTGAGTGTGGCCAGTCATCCTGGAGGGGAAGAGCGACTGGAGCGGGCATCCAGAGGGGCCGGGTTCAAACCCCAGCCCTGCCAGACTCCAGCCGACTGACCTTGAACAAGTTATAAAATGGCCTCTGCCACTTGTGGATGACATCAGTCTCCACTGCATGGGCTGGTGGTGGAGAGTCAACGAAATAACACTGTGATTCTCCTGAGAGCACCTGTGCTGGCCTGCACTTGGCAGGCGCTCTGTAGTCAGTGTGCGCTGCTGCTGTGCCGGAGGGCACTGGGTGCTTGGCATCCCCTCCATCCTTATAGCAGTCCTCTGAGGTTGCAGGCAGGCCAGGAGGCCGCTCCCAATTCACAGGTGAGCAGACTGAGGTCCAACTTGCCCCGGGTACCACTGTGGCCAGGTCAAGACCCCGGCTCACCACATGGCGCCCTGTCCTTGTCCAGCTCTCCCTGCCTGCGCCACATGGGGTCTTCTCATTCCACAAAGAGATACTGAGCACCTGCTCTGCTCCTGATCCCTCTGCGGGCCCGAGGGATACTGCTCTCATGGGAGAGACATGTGGGTGGATCACTGCACCAACAAGGACCTGCAGATGAGGGGTCCCCGAGAGGATAAGCCTGGGAGTCGGGGGCGGCACAGGGGCCCCAAGCTGGCCTGGGGATCAGAGAACGCCTCCTGGGGAGGCTCAGCTGAGGCTGTGGGACGAGTAGGAGGTGGCAGAGGCCAGACGGCGAAGTGGTAGAGGAATCTGTCAGGCTTGCTGGCAGGCAGGCAGGCTGTGTGGGCGAATACAGGTGGACAGGGCATAGGCGGGCGTGATGGCCGGGGGCCAAGTCTCTAAAGTTGCCTAGTGTCACGATGAGCAGTGCATGCAGGGTGACCAGCCTGCCCGGCTTCAAAGCCCTCTCTGCCACCTCCTGGGGGTGAGTCCTGGGGGACTGCCTAAGCTCCCTGTGCCTCAGTTTCCTCCTGTGTGAAAGTGAGAATTGGTCCCTTTACCCACCTTGGAAGACTGCTGTGGGGATTAACATCTGGCCTAGTGTGAGCATTCCATGCATGTTAGCTGCCAGTATCATTCCGTAGGCCAGGAGTTCCCAAAGTGCAGAGCCCAAAGTGACCAGAGGGAGTCACAGCATGTCTTTGTCTTAGTAATTATGTATCTATTTTAACGTGTCTGCTGAAAATTGTAACTCAAACCCCAGACCTAAGATTTCACAGGTATCATTGCTTGGGACGAAGCCAAATGAAGAGTGTTAGTCTATTTGAAGATCATTTAAAGAAAACCATCAAATAAATAAATAGCTGTACGTGTGGATAGGACACCATTTGTGCAGGCGGCCTGCATGTGACAAAGATTTGGGAGGCCTAGTTCTGGCAAGAGAGAGAGGAGGGCGGTTCCAGCTGCAGGGACGGGGTCCGACCCACACCGCGAAGGTCTTCAGCTGCTGTGGAAGCGGAGACAGGAGAGGGCTGGGGCCCCTCTCCCCCGAGACCCCATTTCCCAGGAGACCGACCGGGTCAGCCTGAGGCCAAAATGCCCCACGCTGGGGAAGGAAGCAGCAGCCCACCCAGAACTTGGGCCCATGCCTTGCTGTCAGCGTTGCGCGGTGCCCAGTCCCAGCCGAGGGCACCGGCCTGGTCAAGGGGACAGCTTATTGGAGTAGATGGAACCCCAAATCCTAGCAGGGCCATGGCGCCTGGGTTCTCTTCCCAACTCTGCCACTGACTGCTGGGGAAGGCACTTCCCTCTCTGCCCCGAGTCTCCATCTTTGGGGTGAGCGTGGGCTGTGTCTGGGGATCCTTCTGCTCTAAACTGCACTTGTTGCTGTTCCTGCCCTGGCCTGGGGTCCAGACCCCGTCCTCATTTTCCTTCCTCCCAAAAGCTCCACCTGATCCGAGCCCCTGGCTCCGTGCCTGCCATGCTGCACCTGCGATCATTTCTACCTTTTCTCTCCCCTGCCTTCTCATCCATGGGGACTCTGTTGAATTCCTCAGACCTTCAACCAGCCTCCCTGTTCGCCACTCAACTTGAAGGAAGTGTGGTCCTCACAGCCAGTGCACGGGACCTGCCCCAGCTCCGACCACGTTTCCCCGGGAAGAGCTCAGAAGCGCCGGGTCAGGTGCGGGCGTCAGGCCCTCACTGCTCCGGCCCTGGCTGGGCCTCTCTTTCCAGAGCAGGGAGAACATCACCTTCCAAACGGAGTCCAGGGTGGCAGAGCAGGAGGAGGAGTTCCGGAGCCCCAAGTATATCTTCCACGGCTTCATGGAGAGACTCTGGGCATACCTGACCATCCAGCAACTCCTAGAGAAAATGTGGGTGGCCCAAACCCCCAAGGGCCCACTGGGGTGGCTACACATGGCCTCGGGTCCTCTCCAAGCTCCTCACAGGTGGGGTGGCACAGCTGGCACAGGGCATCTCCTAGCATGGAGAGAGGGTGTCATGGTGTGGCGTGTGAGCTCTACGCTCTCCCAGCAGGAACCACTACCCTCTGCCCAGGGGTAGGGAAGGGAGGGAGAATCGAACTAAGCATCCAGGGACCTGCTGAGCCTCTGATGCTCTCAACCTGCAGGGTTTCCGCACCAGACGCTGAGAAGCAGGCTCTCAAGACCCAAGCTCTGGGCTTGTCGCTCAACTACAGCTTTGTTACCCCCCTCACATCCATGGTGGTCACCAAACCTGAAGGCCAAGAACAGTCCCAAGTTGCTGAGAAGCCTCTGGAAAATGGTGTGTGTGATAGTGGGCTCTTAGCCTCCGTGGCTGCAGAATTTTGACCCAGTGGTCTCTGCGTCCCCTCGACCACATCCCAACCCAGACCCTAAGCCACACGGACTCCCAGGCCCCCCAGGAGATGCATCCAGTTTCATTGAGAGGAAACGGAGGCCAGTCTCCCAGCCTCCCCAAGTTCACTGCACATCTATGTAGTGCTGGAGTTGGGAAGCAAGGTTAAATATAAGCACTTCAAATTTATCAGAACCACCCCAACTATGTACCTCTGTCTGTGTATGTGTTTCACTCTCTACCTCTCCCCTTCTTTTTGTTTTATCCAGAAAACAGTCACAGGATAGCTCACTCAGGTAAGGGCCTGCTACCCTCAAAGGCTGTCAGTGAGAGTTGGCTGAGGCAGGGCCTAGGACACCAGTTCCACAAAGTCGCTGGCCGGGCCTCTCCAGCCCAGCCCCGCCGCTGAGAGGGGCGTTGCCTGCCCAAGCACACTGGTGCACGTAGGCACCTGTTCATGCAGGTACTGGCTGTCCTGGGCACTAGGGGCGCAGTTTCCATCCAGCTGGATGCACACCCAGGTCTCTTTGATTTCCAGGTCATGCTCTCTTTGGACTTGATTCCGCAGGAGCCAGAGGGCCCAGAATACTAGGTAGCAAAGGAGGAGAGGGAGGGAAAGGGAAATGGACAGAATCTTGACCCTTGTCACAGGCTGGTCTCTGCCCTGACTGTTCGGGGAGTGACTTGCTAGGCTTACCTGGTTGGTGGCAGGGCTGGGACTCAAGTTCAGGTGTATCTGATTAGGGGGCAGCTATGCAGAAGGGTCCGTTTTTACAGCTTTGAATTTATCCTGGTTGTGGGGGGAGAGACTCTCAGAGCGTTGGGCATGGGGAAGGGAGCCGCTGGCCCTCTCGACATCCTTCCCCCAGGGTGGGCCCCAGAGCCTTGGCAGTGGGGACCCATGACACTGCTTGAGAGAAGACTGCAAGTGTCATCTTTTCTAAAGCTGGAGCTTCTGGGAGGTTACCTGGCTTGCCGAGACCGGGACAACCTGGACCTCTTCAAGCTTATCATCGTTCCCTTTACCCACCCTATGGTATTGGCTCGGGTAAAAGGCTAGCAGGTAACAGCTGGTTAGGTGAGCCGCTTTCTGAGGGCCTCGCTTCCTCAAGGCAATAGTTAAAACTGCCTGCAGATTTGGATGAGAGAAAGTGCCACACACAGGTCTGGGCACAGACCAGGGAGAGCGGCTGTGGCGCATGTCCTCCGCACGGGAGGACATCCAATAGCGTGGCCTGTATTTTCATTGAATCAGATTCAGTACATTCTGGGGGCTAGCTCAGGATGGAACCTTCTAGAAAGGGAAGGCTTCCTCCGTTTCCAAAGCCATTAGTGGTCCCATGAGCTGTTTCTGATCTCCAAATCTGGACTCAGACACAGCCACAAAGCCAGGCTGGACCCTCTCTCCCCAGTGTTTGTACTAATAGCGTGCGGTTTGGTTTGAAATCTCTTGGCAAAAGCTCTCCTAGGTTGGGCGCATGTGGGGCAGCGGTTGCAGGGCTAGAGCTTGGCGACTGGCAGGTGGCAGTGGTGGCTGGCGGGTGTGCTGATTCCTCTGAATCCTGACTGCCTTCTCCCTTTCTGTTTCTAGCTGCTCCTGGGCTAATGCATTTCCTTTCAGATCCCCTTGTCGGGAATGATTATGACATGGATATCAGTAGCAGAGGTAGCTCCCAGCCCAGAGTCCCAACAGTACACTGTGGGCCCGTAGCAGAAAGACCCTGGGATGGGAGAGCCCCGGGGATCTCTACGGACACGTTCCATGGGTTTCTTAATGTCGGAGTGGAGAGGGAACCCCGGCCACTCCCATCCGCTCCTCGTCCTTCACCTCCCCTGCCCCCAACGCCCCAGGAAGGGGATGCCGAAACCCAGACTTTTTCTTCTTTCAGAAGCAAGCACAAGAGCCTCATTACCGGGTAAGTTACAGCCCCCCCGAGCCCCCTTCCCGTCCCTGCCTCCCAGCGTGCCCTCCCTGCCCCCGGAGCCTCATCCGCTGTCCCAGCCCCCATCCAGGCTCCCGCCGTCATCCTGCCACTGCCGGGGCAGAGCGCGGACCAGCTCTGTGTGGACATCAAGCACTCTCAGGGGCCGCTGAACCTGCTCTCAGACCCTGACCAAGGTCAGACCCTGACCGGTCATCCACCCGGAGAAACGCAGACATGCCACTAGCCCCAAGTTCCCGCCCCAGAGACAACACTGAGACACCTGCCCCTGGAGGCACGTGTGCCCTGTTCAGGCCTGTCCCAGGTCACGGTACCGCCCCTGAGCACCGAGGCCTCCACTCACACATCCACCCCGCAGACCTTTCTCTGGGAATCACATATGGAGGTCTGGGTAGTCAGGCACTTCGGGGTCACAAGAAATGGGCTTGTCCCTCGGCATGACCATACCGCTGGGGTAGAGAGATGGACCCGGGTGAAGACAAACATAGTGGCCTGTGGTCGGTACCCAGAGTGATATAGAGACAAGCCCAGAGGAGGGGATAAGAGCTGTTTGAGGGTCAGGGCAGGCTACACGGGGTCACACAGGAGTGACTGAGCCTTGGCAGACAAGTGGGGGTTCACTAGGAAGAGGAGGAGGTTGGCAGAAGCGCAGAGCCCTAAAAGATTGTAGTGGGGCTATAGAGAGTGTGGAGGAGGCAAACGGTAGGGGAGGGAGGCGTGCTGACCAGACCTGCCCCCCAGCCCCCAGAAGAGTCTTACTGGTTGAGCTGAGGTGTCACGTCAGACACGGGGACGTACAGCACATAGAGATGCTCACATCTGGTCTCCCACATCCACACGCCGGGGCCTGAGTGTTTGCTCCCCAAGGGGGGAGCGCTGATGTTCCATCTCACTCTTGGTCATGGCGCCTAGCTTAGTGCCAGGCACACTATGGGGGCTGTATAAATGTTAAGTCACTTCAGACAAGATCTCTCCCCTCAGAGGGCTCCTCTGACAGTGGCCATTACTGAGGATTCAGGGCCCTTCCAAAGTCAAATGAAACCAAGGGATGAGGGAAAAGATTGCAGAGGCCGGGCCCCCGTGTGAGGGAATGCTGGGGAAAGGGCGCTGAGGAGGGAGTTAGTGAAAGGCAGCTCTGGGGCGCATCCTCAGGGAGGCCTCCTGTTTAGGCCAGTGCCCAGGGAGCCATAGCTCTGACCTCTCTGCTCCTGGCTCTCTCAGGGCTTGAGGTGACTGGCCATTATGAGAAGGAGAAGGCCCAGTTCTCATGGATCAAGGTAACCTTCCAGAAGCCCCAGCTGCAGGTCCATGTGTCCCGTACGCAAGTAGTAGTCACTCGGGACCGAAGAAACTCGGCGTACAAGTGGAAGGAAACGCTGTTCTCGGTGATGCCTGGGTAAGCCTCAGGCTGGGTACCAGGAATGACTTCTCAGGCTGCGTTAGCTGGCAACAGCATCGGCAGGTGGCCTGACGCCACGGGCTTGGCGATGGCATGGTTGGGCTGGGCATGAGCCCTCTGCAGGGGCTGTGCCCACAGGGCGGGCAGAGAGGCAGAGAGCCCTGCACATACCCCTTGTGCTCTGGAGGGCACCAAGGGGTGTCCTGGGCACCTGGCTGCCCTCACACCTAACCCAGGTCATCTCCCATGTAGGGGACAGTGTGTTTTGGAGCTAGCTCTGCTGCTAATCCTGTGTGACCCTGGGCAGGCCACTTAGTCCCTTTTAGCCTCAGTTTCCACACTCATCACTGGGGAAAATCCCCCTGTGCCTGAGATGAGAGAACGTGGCTGGGGAGCACTTTGCTCATTGGAAGGGGCAGTGCCCACTGGGCATGCTGGAAAGCAGCTGTCTACATGGTGAGGTAATGATGACAATAATGAGAAGTCAGAAGTCACTGTCCCCCAGTGGGGCGGGGGGAGGGGTATGGATGTTATTCTTAGCATGCTCGTGAAGCCCTGATGAGGAGAGGCGTGCCCCTCTGGCATCAAACACCAGGCAGCTGGTGGGTAATGGAGGTGGATGGTGACCTCTCCTGGGTGGGACTGCCTCACCGTAGAGCCCTAGAGAGAGCCCTCCAGCTCTGGAAGTCACAACGGGTGTGAGCAAGAGGCCGAGACCCAGGCCATCTTGGAGCATTGCCCTCCGAGCCCCCAGCCTGTGCTGAAGACGAAGAGCTTTATCCGTTCCCTCTGAGTCCCTCGGGAGAGACTTGTCTCCACCTGAGAAGTGAGGGAGCATCCAGCAAATCTGAGGGGCTCACCTGAAAACCTCCCAACTTCCTAACAGACCTTAAAGTTTCCTGTTATCTGATGAATACACAAGGCATTTCTCTGCCTTGGACAAGAATTCCTATTCATGGTAGTGACAGAGAGTCCACATACCTTCACAAACCACAGAAGATAGACATAAAGAAAAACAGACCACACCTCTTACATTGAATCACATCAAGATGGTGTAAATTTAGTGTAAGTCCACTTAAAATATCCTCAGTGTAACAGCAGGGTCTTATCCAATATGCTTGAAGGAACTAAAATTCCTAAGAAAACCAAAAAAAAAAAAAGGTAAGAATTTCAAAGATGATTTTAAGTGAAAAGGAAGGGGACAGAATGAGAATAGACTTGCCCTTCTAGACATTAAAACATACAATTAAACACCGATCATCATCGAAAGAAGGTGGCACTGGCCATAAAAACAAAAAGGACAGAATAAATGTGTCAGATACCCCCTGAATCATACCAAACAAATTCGTGAGAAGACAAATCTCAGAAAACCAGAGGGAAGAGTACTGTTATTTTGTGTTATAAATGCTGAGATCATCAGATATTATTAATTTTGGTCCTGGTTTACTAATGGGGAAACTGAAGCTCAGAATATTTCATCAACTTCCCGTGCAAGGCCACAGTGGGAATGCCTGAGGACAAGAGGGCAGCCCAGGCCACCCCTACCCCAGCTGCCAAGGTCCCCTGGGGTTGCTCCACGCCTACCTTCCTCTCAGGAGGCTGGGTTTCCCCACAGCCTCAAGATGACCATGAACGAGGCGGGACTCCTGCTGCTCAGCAGCCCAGACAAAGTGACCATCGGCCTGCTGTACTGGGACGGCCCTGGGCAGGGTGTCCGGCTGCTTCTGCAGGACACCGACCGCTTCTCCAGCCATGTTGGTGGGACCCTTGGTATGCTGCCCATGGCCCTGGCTCGGGGCATCTTCAGAAACCACCTCTGCCTCCCAGCAGTACCCCGCCTGCGTATGTCTCCCAGGCTCTGTGTCTTCATCCCTCGCTGACCCGCCCTTTGTCCCTCAGGCCAATTTTACCAGGATGTGCTCTGGGGACCTTCGGCGGCAGCAGCAGATGACAGCAAGAAAACACTGAAGGTTCAAGGGCATGATTACCCTGCGACCAGGTGACTTAGTGCAAGCAGACCAGGGGTCAGGGCTGGGAGGCCGAGAGCTGGGTTCTGGGGGCCCCCACTCCCCTGTCCTTGCCTGGGAACTAGAGATAGTCAGGTTGAAGGCTGATGCCTTAGACATGTGGGACCCAGCTCTCAGTGTGACCCCACAAAGGACGGTCAGCTCAGACCCACAGAAAACACACCAGCCAGAGACCACTAGGGTAAGTTGGGGGCCGTAGGAAACTCCCTGAACTCTCAGAGCCCTGGGCCCTGGACACCACACACAACTGGGTCCCCTTGGGTGACTGGGCCTTGGCAGCCTGGTCTGAAGGGAATTCTAAGGGGCTCTGAAACTCAACCCTCCACGTTCTTGTCCCTAACTCTCACCCTCTTTTCCCACCACACCCGAGATTTGCTCACTGTCTGTTTGTCTGTCTGTCCATCCCAGAGAGCTCAAGCTGGATTACCAAGAAGGGGCCCCAGGGACAGAGTTTTCCTGCTGGTCTGTGGAACTATAGTCCTGATGGGACCAACCCACCCTGATGCCACGCCACTGCGTGCAGACGGCTGCCATCCTGTGACCATCGGGCCACCTGCGGGGCCTGAACCATGATGGGGAGGGGAGTTCCACTTGTTACAAATAAAGAAAGGTGGTGTAAGCCTGGGCAGTGGGCGTCTCTGGTTCCATCTGGCCAAATCCCAGGGCTGTAGAACCAAGTCCTGAACACTTGGCATCATATAGAGTTAGAATCTTCCGCTAAAAGACCCTCAAAGGCCTGTGGCCAGTAGTTCCGTGAAGAGCTTCCAGTCTAGTCCCTTCATTTTTCAAAGTGGGAAACTAAGATTTAGGGAGATTAAACCCCCCATGTAAAATGTCGCTCCAGCCCCCAGCTTGGGGCCGAGGGCAGGAGAACATTCTCTGGGAGCAGAGGTTCAATCTCAGTTCCTAAAAACCAGTTTTGACTCCCCTGTCCCCCAAAAAGAATGAATTGGGTACAAGTTCTCAGCAAGTTCTTGGGCCCCTTTCTAGTGGGATTTGCATGACACAATTTGACTTTCCCCCCTGTGCTAGGAACAGGCCTGTCTGCTCACCCCCCATAAAGAAGCCAGCACTGGAAGGCAGCAGAGACAGGGATGAGGTCCCCGTCTCAGGAAGGAAGCGTCTGTTCCCAAGGGCCTCCGGTCCCATGGGGGTGACCCAGGCCTCCAACTCTAAGTCCTTTCCAATCCATGTCCCAGGGTTAGGCACCCCAAAGATTCCACCAAATTCCTACACAGGCAAAGCATTCTTTAGAAACACTTACAATTTTTCCATCTAGTTCTTTAAAAAATAATGAGTCTTTGGCTTAGAAGTAAAAAGCATAAAGAGAATAAAACCAAAAACCATGAGAATAAGAAAAGAAGAGCAAAGCAGGAGGAGAGTTAAATCAGTGCCACAAAGCTTGGCCCTGAGCTCCCTGGCAGCCAGAGGAAAGCCGAAAATGAGCTTATTTGCTTGCTAAGAGGAAGCAAACCAGATCATCAGAGAAGACATTCTTTTCCCGGCTCTTGAGCTCTACAGGGTGTTCACTGAGTGAGTCTTTCTAGAAGGGTCAGAGGAGAGGCTGGTGGGAGGGGCTCCAGGGGCAGGTGTGCCCGGTGCACAGAACACTCCATCGGCCTCTCCGTCAGCGTGGTTGGCTGGCAGGGGTATCGGGCTGAGTTGCTGTGAGACAAGGGGGCAGTCTTGGGGGCTCTGTCGGGCTTGCTGTGGGGCTAGCTCGCACATACCAGGATGAGGGAGGGGTGTCCACCTTGCCCCTCCAAGACACCACCACCTGGGCTGCACTGTGGAAGTTGTATGACCGCAGAGGGGTCGTGGGCGACGTTCTGGCCCAGCCAGCAGGGCAGGTGTCCTGTGTGAATAATTGGAAGTAGGTCCTTGCCCTTTGTCGTTTTGCACACTGAGTGCTTTCCAGCACCGACTCGGGCCAGGCCCCGCTCAGAGTGCTGTGGGTACATGGGGCACCACGGCAGACGGTGCCTTCTGTGACAGCTGCCAAGCAGAGAACGACCAGGTGCTGCGAGGAGCCCAGAGGGTGTCATCTTGCCCTACCAGGGAATATCAGGGAAGGCTTCCTGAAAGCGGCATGGTTGGTATTGAGTTTTGAAGAATACAGAGAAGTTGGACCAGTTGGAAAGGAACGCAAGGACACGGGCCTAGAGCCAGGACATTGCGCCCTGAGTTCAGGGCAGGCGAAGGAAAGTGGAGCCGCGGGGAGAAGCAAGGGGATGCTGGCGAGGCGGAGAAGCAGGGCCAGGCCGGCGCTGCCTGAGTGCGCCTTGCCACGGCCATGACTTCTATCCTGAGAGCCAGGGGAGCCATCAGGGGCTGCAGACAGGGACAGGCACAGGCACAGCCGGAGTGACGTGGGAATGGGGAGAGGACAGTCTTCCTGGAGTTGGCCTGCGTGGAGGGCGTCCTTGGCTGTGCTGGGGAAGGAGAAGGGGCAGGTTTGGGCTGTGGGCCTCCTCTGCCTTTCTGCCACCCTGCTGGACTAGGCTACTAGCTGGGATGGCAGGGCAAAGACAGGGGTCTCAGGGGGACCAGAAACCATATGATGACACCTCTTCACACCCTCCGTCTGGCAGGATGTTTCTCCCTATTTTGCAGACGTGTGAAAACCAGCCTCAGGATGACTGGTTTAAAGCTACGTGGCCCCTCAGCAGACCCAAGACTGAACAGGCGGCAGGGCTTGCCCACTTTAAGATGTTCCTTCCCAGGCCTGGGCCCTTTTGGCCAGCCCAGCCGGGACACTGGTCACATTCACTCTGGAGCCGTGTCCCACGTGGCCCTCTCCCAGAGCAGCAACAGCCTCCAATCCACAAGCCTCCCGGCAGGGGGTTCCCTGATGATAAATGTTTCTTCCTGGACTGCCCCCAATACCCTGTCCGGGACCCCAGGCTGCTGTCCCTAGGAAACCATAGCCTGGCTTGCGCAGAGGGGCCCCTGCAGTGGGAGGTAGGAAAGCACCCTCATGACCCACGGCCAGATCCCACCCGTGCCCGCACTGACGATCATGATCCCTCCCAGGGTGACTCTAACCCCTTCCAGCCTTATTGTGTCTCTGGCTGTGCCATCGAACAAAGCTGCCCACTGCTTCCTTCAGTGGCGTACCCTCTGCCCAGCATGCCCTCAGCCCCTCAGGCAGAAAGAGCAACAGAGGCAAAGAATCTAGGGCAGGAGGGGTTATGTTTGCAGAACTGGAAGCACTCTGTGCGTCTGGAACCCAGAAAGTAAGGGAAAGTGCCTGCTGTGTAGAGCTGATGGAGCTGAGAAGCCATAGGAAGGACTTCGTCCCAAGAGCAATGGGTGGGAGACGTCCTGTACAGGGTTTTAGGCAGAGAGCAATGGTTGGTTCTGTTCTGTAGAAAGCTCTCCCTGGAAGCAGCAAGAACCAGGAAGGGGCAGTTCTAGTTGTTCAGGTGGGAGAGGCTTCTAGAGCCCCTTGTCCAGGAACTGGGCTGACCCCCTGACCCCACCCAGGACTTGTGAGGGTGTAGCAGGTGGTCTTCATGGGATGTGACTGGAGGATCCCAGGGATCCCTGGCCCAGCTGAAGGCACACTTAAGGCACCCCTGGAAACAGGAACTGAGTCACTAAGCTGTGTACCCCCAGAGCCTAGCTCAGGATGTTGGGTTGATCTGACGAATGGATGGCTGACTGGCAGACTGATGGAGAGTGGGCAGATGGGTGGATTGGATGGCATGCACAATTATCTGCACTCTCTGCTTCAGAGTCACAGAGGGATCTCTAGGCCTGAAGGTCCTGGTAGGGGCTCCTGAGCCCCCTGCCTTTTCTTATGGCCCTCCTGGACTCTGAAGTGCATCCAGTCCTTCCCAACTTCTCAGAGCCTCTTTACTCCAGAGTCAATTCTTAATTTTTTTCCTTCTCGAACCATCATGCATTTGACTCCCTAAAGTGCTGCCCTAGCCAGCCCCGTCTTTCAGCCCCACTTCTGGGGAGGCCCAGAAAGTTGCCTTCCTAGCAGCCAACCCCTCTTTTGAGCTGCCACAGGACTGGCTGGTGTCCCTGGAGCAGGGGCTCAGGGAGGCACGCAGACGCTGGCCACAGTCTGGTTTCCACCTTGGCCTTTATTGTTGCCACCCTCCTGCAGGCTCGGCTCTGTGCCCTGTTCCAGGCACCAGGCAAGCTGGGCCAGCCACCTCAGAACAGGTCAGAGACAATGTAGTCACTGTGTACTCCATCAATCAGCCCCTGGCCGTTGTTGTGCACGAACCAGCAGGACACTTTGGTGCCATTGTTGACATCCTTGCTGTAGTCTTTCTGGGAGCCCCTGGAGAAAGGAGAGAGATGCAGTGATACACAGCGTAGGCAAGGTGGTTGCCATGCTCATCGACCTAATGTCGGAAAAGGGAGTGAAGTTGCTAATTCTAGGAGTCCAGAACTCTTTGGTCAAGAATGAGGCTGTATAATCATTTCTTGTAGGGGGCCAAGCTGGGCCTTTTTCTGATTCAGAGAGCCCTAAAGGGGACCAAGACCCCAGAGGGAAATGAGGGTGCCCCACAGCAGACAAGAGCGTGTGGGGCTGATGAGTGTGGGCCGAGGGCTCTTGCCTCCTGGCTTGTTACTGGGCAGGGAGGGGATGTCAGATGAGTCCTTTCACCTGGTGACTGCCAGCCTATGGTTCTTCACCACCACTGTGGCCTCTGGCTTTGTGGGGTCAGAGCCTGGGTGGACGTCAGACACTTCAAAATCAAAGGGGCGGAAGAATTGTCCTGGGAATAAAAGCATTCACATTGTCAGCCCCTGCCAACACCCCAGGTAAGATGGCCACCGGCCTTCCAGGTTAAGGCAAAGGCTGAATGGGGTGTTGTGTGCCGGGTCTGGGGTGACAAGGATGGCCTTTCACATGGCTTTTCCCTCTGCCCTGCGAACAGCCTGAAGCTTGAACATTTCGTACCCAGCAGCCCGTGTGTCTGTCCTGACATCCGGTGACTGTCCACCACGTAGAAACCCAGAAAGTCGAAGTGGCCAGGATGTTTCTTCCACACCTGGTGCAGAACCACCACAAAGGTAACCCCATCTCCAAAGGAGACCACCATGTTCTTCTTCCTGTTGATCATCACAGACAGCCTAGGAGAGAAGAGGGCAGTAAGGGGCACAGTGGCCATCACACTGGGCATCTGAATCAAGGACATCCTGGCAGGGCCTTTCCTGTACATGGCATCTGAGAGCACAGACTCTGGAAACTATCTCAGGGTGTTGGGGAAAAAACACCTCATGTGTGCCAACTACACCCTCCGCTAAGTGCATCCTGGCACCTCTGTAAACAAGAAAGGGGACTGTCCTGGAAATCTGGAGGCCTGGGATCAAGTCCCAGCTCAGCCACTGGCTTCCTGTGTGACCTTAGACAAGTTCTGCCCCCTATCTGAGCCTCAGTGGGAGTAACACCCCTGTCCTGACCACCAGGCTCTGGGTAACATAAAGGCATAAGAGAGGCTGAAGAGTTTGGACACTAATCAGTTCAGCCAGAAAAGATGCAAATAAGATTGTTGTTATTACCAGATTGCCACATCCACCTAAAACTTCCATCCATGCAGTGCTTCCCCTAAGGTCAGTCCTGTGAACTGTCCAGTTATGGATTCTGGCTCTGACAGG